AGCATGAAGACACCCGATCATGCACTTGTGTGTGGAAGAATGGCTCCCTGCAGAAGACCTCATGGCACTGGGCATCGATCGCAGTAGCATCGAGAAACTCCCGGAAGACCCGGTCCATCCACCTAACATCGAGCATGACACCGTAGCAGCTCCAGCGTTTGTTTGAAAAAACTAGACATTGCCATGAACAAGTTCGAAAAACATAAGTCTTTTGAGCAATCGCTCAGGCAATGCGAGCCAAGACTGTTGCCTTGGCCTTGATCGAACCGCCCACCATACGGTGTCGCCCCCCGTTGAAGGTGACGGATGTCGGTGAGCGCGGCCACCCATCGTGAGCTCGTAGATATGCCTCATTTATCGAGCCATCGGGTTCTACCGTGATGTCAGTTATTTCAATGACGGCAGCCACTGCAATTCACCAAGTCGATATTCCAAGCATGCCACCGGATAGTGACATGCTCAACCGAAGCTGGAAACCCGGGGCTGGTCGAGGGTAGATATAGAGATGGCCCTAGGTCGAAGTGCCTCAGGGATTGTGGGCAGAAGACGTTCAACATGGTTCGAAAAAAGCCACGCCCAAACGACAATTTCTCCAACGAAGCCGCCCACAAAACGCTGTGAACGGGCTGATTGAATCTTGACCCGAACGACAGCTGTTGCAGGCACGCCGGCCAAATGATTCCGACAACACGGCAACTGAGGCTTGACCCGAACTTTTGTTGTTGATTCCGGCAATAGATTGGTTGAATGATTTCCCCCAAGGTAAGCCGCCGCAGCGAGCTAGGCCATGCGACGATGACAATCGGATGATGAAGGTTCGCCCGAAAGCGATGTCTAGAAGTAAAGCCGGCCTGGGTATTTGGTTGATTGGTCGATGGAAGTGCGTGCCGAAGGTGATGAGTTCCAGCGAGGGCGGCCACGCCACTTCATGGAATGAAAATTCGAATGTGTTCCCCGAATGTCGAATCCTGAAGAGATTATGGCAACGTAGCCTAGAGGATGGGACGATCCAAAGCGATGTCCGAACGATAGTTCGCGGAGCGACTCTGGCCACACGGCATTCCCAGCTGGCTGGTCGCGAATAACCCGAACGTGACCTTTTGAAGTGACGCCTAGAACGTAACTTTGTCGATTGGCTGGTTCAAGTGGATAGAGGCCGAGGGAAAAATGCTCCATGGATTCATGCCACAGAGTCTTGTCGATAGGCTGCCTGAAGTACACGCCCAGGTCAAGGCGTTGCAGAAAGCCAGCCAGACCGCCCTCTTCAAGCGGGGTTTGAACCCATCAGCTAGAGACACTTTGTGCTTTCAGCGCTGGCACCCGCGAAGCTTTTCTCTGCATTTCTCGGGAAGTATATAATTCCCCGGCGAAGCCCCAAGTGGCGCAGGATTTCGCCTGTGAGTCGTACTTGGCGCGTCGAATCACGACTCAGGCAGGCACAGCGCATGTCCGGACAAGCCATCTTCAGGTGCTTGGTGGGAGCAAACAACTGCTACATTCGTTCTCAGAGTATGCAGGCCAATTGGCGGACTTGCGGACAAAAGATCGTCAAAGCATCCATGCCAAGTGATTGCCGTAGGTAATCACGTAGTCACCATCAAGGAAAAAATAAAAAATAAAAAACACCGCCAGAGACAACGAATCATGAGAATACTTCGAAGCAGGCGGGTTCGCAAAGAACTGACATGACCTCGACTGCTGGCTGGTTGCTTTTCAACGACGGGCGGGGGATACGACACCCGCCAATGTTGGATCTGACAAGCAGGGTTCCTCGGCTCAGGACCCGGGTTCAGGATGGCTTAGCTTCCAGCACGCCATGAGAAAATTGTACCGACGGATATTTTTAAAGATGCGTCGACTGAACTTCGGTTTCCCACGATTTCTTCCATACAAAACCAGCCACAACGAAAGGTAGGCGTTCATCGATGTTGAGGGAGCGGTTCTCGAACACGCTGTTTCAATATCATGAACGAAGACTAGGCGACAACTTCGGAAATATTTTGGTGCGGAGGGGGAGGGGGGGGTAGGTGCTCAGCTTAGCTGTACTCGTCGTACCCCGTCGCGTGACGTTGCGCGCGGTGCGTGCCACGCTGCGTGCCTGTAAGCACAGGAACTATGTCTCTACCCGTTGAGACATCGAAGGAGCCCCGCCAACTATCAAAGCTAGAAGAGGTGTCAGTCCTGATCGACACTTACTTCGAGGCCATCAAAAAGCATGCCATTGCTGGCCATTGCCTCACGAAGGCAGACTGGGAGGCCATGGAGATGACGTGGGGGCGACGAAAGCTTGCCGACACCTTTTCCTTCGTCGCCCCCACCGCTTGTCGAATTCAAGTGTCTAAACACGCTGCTCTTGACAGTTCGTTGCTGCAGCGTGGAGCACTCGTTAAGTTGACCATGGGCTGGAGGGGTGGGCTGATCTCTTCGCGGTCTCAGGAGCGCACCCACCACCTTTAGACTATCGTGTGCATTTCGAGCTACAGAACAAACTACGCGCAGCATGAAGCGACCGTTGGACAAGTACAGAGTGGAGATCGGGATCAGCTCGTAGGGTCGTGGGCTTTGCCTGAGGGGAGCACCGTACAGCAGGGAGGGGGTCCGGCCAGGGAAGAGCAGGGTGAAGGTTCTAGTGCAGCTACGACGGACGATAGTAGAGCGGGGAGGACAATCACGCCGAGTGTGACCCTGAACTCTAAATGGTCCAATGTTGCTCAGATGCGTCCAATATTTCAGGCGATGCCGCGTCTGTGTTTCTACTCCATGGTGATCGCGGAAGCTTCGGTGCGTTGGATCCAGAGGTCTCTGTCGAACGGCGTGTTTTTCTACTCTTCTTCATCAACACGCTCTCTCAAGTGTCTCAGATTAATCCACCCAGAAAAAAAAACGGCGTCCTCTGCATGATGAGGCGCTCGGCGTGGGATTAAGAACAAGAACCATTTAGGCGGATGCCTGCTCGAATACGAACTTTGAAAATGAGAACAGGTGCTCGGTTTCAGGGAGCCAATGAGCATGGAGCCTCGGCCAAAAAAAGGGTTTTTTAAGTGCGGGCGCTTACTCTATAGTGCGACTATTCAGCGTGCCACTATTGGGGGCATTTCACTATTCAGGGTGCCACTATATCGGGACCACTACTGTAGTGGCATCAAAACCTCTTGTCACAATCTCAACCCGATATAGTAGCATTGTACCACTATTGAAGACGGGGCTCTCAACAGTGGCATTTTGGGCGTCTCACCCCCCAAAAAGTGGCAATTCCAAACGCCGGAGCCTCCCTGTTTTTCACCGCTATTAATAGCTCTGTCCGAACACGCAAGGGAATTTTTTCGTAGAAGGTTGGCAACATGTTCGTCAAAGAGGACACCTTTTCTGACGACGAGGTAGAGCTAGACAACACCGAAGATTCTGAGAGTGAGGGGGTTGGAGGGATGAAGGCGCCGCCATCGTTCGCGGAACTGTCTGGGCTTTTTGGTCCTCTAGGAGAGTACGCGGTATCGTGTGGCATTGGCGAGGCCAGGCATTTCCTCCGTAAGGCAAAGATGGCATTCTTCGCACCACATGCCGCTAGACCGGCACGGCAGTTGGACATCAGATCGTTTGCCCAGTCACGGTGTAGTGGTATTGGTCGGTTGAGGCCTACAGGTGCAAACCATCGTGACGGTTGGGGTTGATGCGCCGGAGTGGGAAGTGTTCGGCGTTTTCAACTTGGTTGCTCCAGTTGGTTTCGCATACATCGATGTTTTCAACTTGTGTGTGTTTTGCTTATCATGGATGGCCAGTCAAGACAAACAAAAATTATGTTACTTTGTTTCTGCAGTCCGCCTGCACACAAAGGTAGGGTGCGATCGCCGAAGGCCTCGTTGTCACAAGGACGATCAAGTGGCAATGCACACGTGATGGGCAGACACCTGCGTTTTCACGCGGAAATGGTGCACACAACAAAGGGGGACCCTAGATACATACACAACGCAGTGAAGATCCAAGGAACACCTGTCCGTAGCGTAAGCTAAAAGCTTATTCTCCGATATAGTGGCAACAATGCCACCATTGACACTCAATAGTGGTATTATTGCCACTATATCGAATAGTGGCATTGCCCTGAATGTTTTTCTCTTGCCACATGCCTCTATATCGGGACCACTACTGTATACTGAACATAACAAAAGAGTGGCGATGCCGAGAATGGCGGCGTCGGAATCAAGAGCCGTCCGAAAAAGTACCGTTTGCGTTATTCACCCTCTTCGTCGCGGAGCATTGGAGCTGTGAAAATCGATCCAGTGGGTGCGATATCTTACGGCACCTACTGCTGCACGGTACGCGTCCGTTTCGGGGTACGGGAGACGGTGGTCATCAGCTCCAAGACAAAACAAAAACTCGCCCTGCCCCCCTGTCCCCCTCAACTCGCTTGTTGATCAGAAACAATAAATGAGACGTGTGATAGGTGATGGGACTAGCCGGGAAGGCCCAGGTCGCACACTACACCCTCGCACACAAGTGGGGAGAGGTGTACCTGCTGTAGAGCAGTGCATGCTTCATCAACGTGCCGCGCATCATGCCGCGTGTTTTTTTTTTTTTCTCACCTTGACTCTTCGCGTGTGCGTGATGAACGACACGTGCTTGATGTGGGCTAGCGGCGTCATTGCAGCAGATCCTACTGTAACCTGCTGCTTCGACCCTCTGATGTGTTTTTATCATCGTGTTGCTCAGTGTGCGTGACCATGTGTGTGTTCCACACGCGTATGCATCCATGCCGGGAAAGATCAAGATGGCCAAGAAGATGCCCCTATGGCGTTTTGGTTCGGGAGGGAACCACAGATCCTGTCCGGGCGACTCTACGCTTGCTGCCGCGCCGATATGCGCGTGCCAAAGGACGAGATGCCCGGCGGTCCTCACCACACACCACACCAGCTGCACCACGCCAGACGGCGAAACGAGGGTCCCGCCAACCACAGTACGTTCGAGGCGCAGCGCCTCCCCGCTCTGTAAGATTTCCGCAACACACAATGCAGAGGGCGGTCGACCACGACGGGGCTGCAGCTCTGCTGGAGCAAGCCGCGCAACAATTCCGAGACCATGTGTGTATGTAGTAACAGTCAAGTCCAGGGTTCTTGTTTCAGTAGTCCTAGCGTTGGGACGTTTTGAACTTTCAAAATAGGCTACAAAATGGCTTCCTTGCTATTGCTTGGCTATAAAATGGTTTCCTTTAGGTTTCAGTGTAGGCCGCACAAGTGGTGCGCAACCTATGCTTCGACATGTATTGCTTGTCCTTGCATGCAGTTCTAAACTGCCACGTTTTGAATTGAGGGCGCCAAGTTTCAAACTGCCAAGTTCGTGGTGTCTGCACAGTCTGATGCAGTCGTGCTGCAGCTCTCATCTTTGACCTCATGCTGGCAAGCTTCACCAGCAGCTTGATCGAAAGGTGTTTGCTCGCTGCCATAGCAGCGAGCAGGAAACCTCGACACATACCTACAGTCTGTGTTACATTGAAGCAGCTCTCCTCTGCTACGAAACCTCGCCCCTACGTACATGTAGACTACCGCTCTTAACTGTAGACTGTAAGCAAAGATGTTCTGCTTGTATAGATCATTTTTGGTCTCCATCAGTCTACGTATAACGCGTGAGGAGCGCATGTGTAGGCAAGCGTCCCTCTCGTTGCCCCCCCCTACTCTCTGAAAGTACGTGATATATGCATCCGTGGGTGAACATCTCGACGGTAAACAAGTCCGTCCCTCCCCAGGGAGAAGCGCTAATGCAAGCAATTCGACACAAAGGGAGGATATTAGCGTGTGCGACGGAGCGTACAAGAGTGTCGTATTCCAAAACGACTTACTCGGCGAGCTGCGGAGCGCCTTGTACCTATAGTGGGTTAGTCGTTACAGGTTAGTCAGTACAGTGTACGGCAATTGTTTCAATCCCCCACCACCTTACGGAGGTGTTCAAGAAGGCACAAGATAAGCCCCATTTTTTCGTCGCGCTGTGGCCTCTCTCCGCCACCACGCTCTCAAATGAGTGCATCCACCTGATGGGACGCACTGCTGTACTTGAGCTGTCCATCTCCCCCCTGTCCTCCTGCATTGTGGCGCCAGGATCAATCTCTGGCATCATTGGGAACCGTGAGCGGCATGGTCGAGCATGCGGGCTTACAACATTCGGAGCAAGAGGACCAGGGCGGAGTGGAGCATAGAACAATCAGAATACGTCGTCGGCTAGGGTTAGGGTTAGGTGATCGTCAGAAACTTCGGTTCGGTGATCGTGTTTTCTCGTCCTCACGGAGGTGTACTGGTTTCGCGTCTAACAGCTGTTCAGGTCGTCTGGAAGACGGCGGGGGGGCAGGGACTAAATGCTATGGCGGTCCCAGCTGGTCTGGGGTTCAACGGAAATGGAGCTGCGGCAACTGGTGCCGGCGGCCTTAGTGCGGGGTTGTTCGGCTCGAGCAGCGTGGGATTGGGCACGGGCGTTGGCGGATCAACCATGGGAGGCGCGCCTGTATCCCCGGCCTCTGTGTCGGCCGCCAGCATCGCCCCTCACTGGGACGCGCGCACGGGCGTTGGCAGATTAACCCTGGAACGTGCGCCAGAGTCCCCGACTTCATTGTCTCGGGTGGCGTGTGGTGCAAGGACGGCGCCTGTGTCTCCGGCCACCGTGTCGGCAGCCGACATCGCCCCTCGCCCGGGCGCGAACCAACCGCGTTCGCCGCTTGCCATGCCAATGTTTATTCCGATACGCACGTCCCCAGCACCGCAGACCACAGGTACTAGTGGAGGTGTGCGGGAAAATAGAGGGGCGGGAACGTTTGTCCATGAAAACCTCAATTCATCCGTGGAGCCTGAGAGCAACAGACAGCTGGCGGCTGCCGTTCTCGGCATGTCGTCCAGCGTATCGACGGGGGGGAGGCGAAAAGGCCAGCTACGTGAACAAGCCAAGAGCTGCCACGGGTGTAGGACGAATAAACCCGGGCAAGGCATCAAGTATGCTTGCGTGGATGGCCGGAATCCGAGATGGAACTATTGGCTGTGCAAGAGTTGCTTCAAGGAATGGACGGAAGCGTCTGGAGTTGATGGATTTTTGTGTTGCCTACACCGGGGAAAGCAGTGGTGCCCGTGCAACAGGTGAGGGATGCTTTTGTGTCAAGTTAGAAAAATCCTGTAACATCGTTCATACAGCATCTCGGTGATTCCAGTATTTAAGATAGATACTCATAAGGACATACATCCTTGAACTCTTTCAAGAAATATGAAAAGGTCCAGACAGAACCACAGAAAAAAAATGGTTTGACTTGGACTCCGCCAATAGCCATTCCTCAAACACGACCTCCGCACTCACGTCCCGGGTCGCGTTGGCATCGATCAAATATCTCCTAGTCAAGCGAGAGACCCTTGGGTAGAATGGATGAGGTGGGGTGAGTGATTCGGGAGTTTGTGGAATATGGATTGTTGGATGTAAATATCACCCGTGCACCTGAAGAACCATTCAGTTTGCTACACGCATTATTTGCCAGTCCCGGAAGAACCATAGGAACAAGGGACACACCTGGTAGTGGTATCTGCGCGGTTTAGAAATTCCCGAAAGAGGCAAGGGTATGACGCGTGGAACGGGAAAGTTGGTCTTGTCCTTATACCGTCCTACAACGGCGAAGCCCGTTTTGTACGTCGATCGACGGTACCCTGTCGAGCTTGATCTATGCGTGGTGCCCACATTTGGTGCCCATCCACCCCGTATCCCCCTTTCTGTCTCGTTTCCTTCACCGCCTAAAAGCCGGAAAAGGGTCAGGAGAGGCCCCGTCCCGGCATTGGAGCGATCTGCGCTAGCAAAGTCGCGCATTGGGAGCACGAGCATTTTCGAGTTCCCGGCGCGGACACGTCCAGCCCTCACTGTCGCAAGGACAACTCCCAGTGCCACACCAACTGGGGGGGCGGGCAAAACATACTCGGTGTGCACATCGGTCGGTCTTCAGCGTGTGGCGGTGATCAAAACTGGTGACGAATTCATTTGCTCACGGAAGGACTGCAGACGGTGAGTGGGTGTACACGGAATTCGTCGCTGCAAGTTAGGCTAAACTGCCCTTAAATATGCAGAGAGACGAGCCTGCTCGTTTGGGTTGACTTCGCTACCTGTGCGCTTTCGTTGAATATGTCACCAGATCGTGCGCGAAAGTACTTTTGCGGAACTTTCCCACTTTCGTTTTTTGGACATACCAACATCTCACACTCGGTCCGATTACGCTAATTTTGCCGCGTCTATTTTGCAGCGTCAAGAATCCTCAAACCTCAGCTGCAGCCACTGGTGGCACGGACTCTGCACTTCCGGCTCCTTGCTGCCATGCAGAGGTCGTGCTCCAGGCAGAGAGATCATCTATGCCAATGCCGACAGCAGATCCCCTGTTTTCAGCAGAGGAATTTCGACACGCATTGACCACGGCAGTGCCAGCAGGAGCGTTCAGCGAGGGCACCACCCGAGCCATGCACGCACGCGCGGATCAGGCGGCGGAAGATGGCGTCCCGGTGCTTGTCGGCCTCGGGAGCACGAAGTACTTCGGGATAACGGACGGCCTTCAAAACAACCGCAAAGTGGTTGGAGGGTGGGCGCACGTGAAGTATGACGACAGGGACGGGAGCAAAATTTTCCAGTGCAAGGTGGGCGAAAGGTTTGCACTCGACTTGCGGTGGTTGAATGTCGGCATGGTTGAGGTGCTTCTTTAGCTTCGCTAGAGGTACCCACGTGTGGTGACTTGTTGAAACCGTGGTCGCGGAACCGACAGGGATGGTGGCTCCCTGTACAAGAAAAATTGACTAGGTTGAGGTGTTGCGCTCACGAACGCCAACGTCCAAAGATATGCTGCCACTGGGGCGTGAACCAACGTATCTTTGTGGTTGTCCTTTTTAAGCCGGCTGTTGTCATGCCGGCGGCGGTTTGCAGTATTGAGATCTAGCGGATTTGGAGGTTTGAACACCTTTGGACCTCGAGGCGAGACCAATAATGAAACCCTCCCAGCGCCCACCCCAATGCCCGGCTCAACGACATCCGATTTACTTTGCGCGGCCGTTTTGATGTTTTCTTGCTGGCGCCTACTGAAGGCGAACAACGGCAATCCGTGTGGTGACAGTAGACCAAGGGATAAGACGGGCCATTGTGCTCACGCCGCCATCGTCGCTGTGTATATTTACCAACGAGACAAGTTGGGCCTTGGCGGGGGGGTGAACAGGGAGCACGACGGCGATGAGGATGGTATGGAGATCGGACCAGCGTGGGGGCTGTGGGAGGATGAAGCCAACACCGGTGGCGACGTGGGATTGGCGTCGTCCACCGAGCATATCGATCCTAAGCACCTCTCATCGTGTTTTCTGTGACTCGCTGGGCAAAACGCTGTGGACAGCAGTGGGTCCTGCTGTGAACTCGAGAACACGGGAACACAGCTTGCGTCCGATTTCTGTAAGTATGATGTTTCTGTGTCTGTAAACGTGTGAGACTAAAGTCATGGAACTGACTATTATAGAGCGGTCAAGTCTTGCAAGTATCTCCAACTACGCGCGTACGAATTATCACGATAGCTCCGCAGCGTGCCTGTTGAGAGACCGAGTCATGAGCTGACCATCTACATAGTTGGTAATGATGCCCAGCTAAAAGCTGCTCAGCTTTTATCACTTCTTAGTCTTCTAGGGGTTCAGATATGCCTCCGACTAGACTTAATGCCCCCGAGAACGGCAAGGTACCACGATGCAGCGTGTATGCAGCTATATTATATGACGAGACGACCAGGGTCCAGTCGCATATAAAACCCCATATTATGATCGCACGTGCATCAAACCTGGGGGATCCCAGTTCTGTTCTGTTCGACTCACTACCCAAACCGGGAAGAGAGACAGCACTCATACTTCCTGCAGCATAGACTAGACCACGGGGACTTTAAAACGCCCGTCTGTATCGCGGTTAAGCCAACGGGAACAGGGCAACGGCAACATCTCCTGCATCCAGGTTTCAAATCTATCTGCGGCTTGAAATACACTGCTGCGCTACAACCCTGGTCCTGAGTCTTGAGCATGCTTTGTTTACTGTAGGGGTTAGAGATGGTAACACGCCTGCAGGCACGGAACAGTTTCGTATCTCAGTGGTAGGCACCGCCCGAACGCTGCTTGGGACCGCGCAGGGATGCGGGGCGCCCCATGGCAAGGGAAACACACAGCTGTTCAGTATGTGGGGAGTGAGGGGCGGGAACGTTGTGGTCTTGTCGCGCACCGAGTGGACTGTCTCGAGCTGGCGGTGTAGATGCAGACATTGATATTTACGCTGAGCTGCATGTTGCTTTCACTCTTCCACAGATTCACCCGGGGCACGACGTTGCCAACAACGCACCCATGGCACAAGCGAGTCACGCCTAGAAAGACACAGAGATGTCGAAAGACAAACAGATTTTGCGCTTCATGCTGCCTCTTCGAGGGTCTGCGGTCGCGAGCCCTGCGTGCCGTTGATTGAAACTGGGTACATAGATTTAGCGTGCAACGCTTTAGGCACTATAGAAAGAAGCAGACAACGTCTGTACTTCAACCTGCGGAAGCACCGGCGTTGAAAGAAGCGTATCATTACCCCAGTGACCATATTTCGCCGCGTGTCGCCTTGACAGGCGCAACAAAAGAACCCTCTCATCGAAAGGAAACTACACATCCACCCCACCTCCAGCCTGCAAAAAAAAAAAATACCTTCCGCCACGATCGACAAAAGAGAAGCATAACCTCTACAATAACTGGCAACGCGGAAGAGAAGTGCCCCGCTCCACAGAACAGGTCATGCGAGCCGCTGGCTCCTAGGATACTTTCGCGGGAACAGCGAGATCCAAAACACGGCTCTCCACGACCCCATGACCGCGAAGCTCCAAGCAACTGTCGTACACATCGATACTCGCGAAAGCCTCCTGCATGTCAAAAGAAAGGGGTTGTCGGGCCGCTTCGGGGTTTCATGGGCTTTCCACAGCCTTTTCCTTAGTTGCTGACGGTACACTCTTTTCAAGCGGGACAACCTATGGGCATTCGACGAGCATACATAGTTTGTTTGTCCTTCATGAGCACGTTTCTCTATTCCTGGCACGGATTGTCTCATCTGAGGGACATTTCCGACACATGAGCGCTGGAGCTGGGCGAGGACGACCGAAACGGGGAGTGAACGTAGCGAGATAGATGGAAGACGAGACTGCATACATCTGCTGCACCAAGTGGACGGAAGGGTTTGTAATGTATATGAAAGCATACGAATAGTGCTGAATGCGCCATCCGTGAAGGTCGATTGGACGGGCAAAACCAATCGTCGCCCTTTCCCAAGCGCTCGACGAGCTTTTCATCACAAAGGACCCACCTGATCAGAGGGGGCTTCGAGCGCGGCGGCTAACGAGATGTGGTGGATCCCATTTTCGTCCCTGAAGTACGTCTCCCTATGGCGATGGCCTGACAAAAACATCGCTACACAGTCGAATTTGTGCATCACCGCTAACACCTTGAAATATAGGTGAATCGGCGAAGGGAGAGCGAGTTTGAAATAAGTGGGAAGTTTGCACCTGATCTCAATAAATGTAGCCTTGGTATCTGTTACATTTCGAATGCAAGGACGAGTTGCGCCATGTGAACGTCGTTCAACATTCTACGGTTGCTCAAAGTGGAAGCGAAAAAACAAAAAATGAATCTCAGTTCATGATGCAGCAGAACGTACGCTAACCCTGACACAGCAGTCATGTCGAGATTTCAACACGCCTACATATGTATATCGTATTATTTTCGCCTTACACCGCGCATCTCCGCTCAAAGCAAGACTACCGTTACCGCTTACGGCCCACCTCCTCGTAGTTCCAGATAAGAGTGTGCGCGCTTGGCTCCGCCGGATGTATGGGAACGTGTCCAAAGCCGACGACGCGCTGGCCCGCCCGGCTTGCCTCGGTGAGCTGGTTTTCCAGCCAGAGAAGCTGCTTGGCTCCTATTCCGCCGTTGTACCGCACAAATCTTTGTCAAACAACGGCAGGAACGACATTGCTTTGGTTAACGCAATAACCAAGACACGACCGGACGGGGCGTTACTAGTGGGTCATGTTTTGATTGGGTGATCGCTATCCCGGTGCAACCGCTCCTGGTTCGTTTCGCCTTCCTCCTCCTGCTCCTAGTAACCCTTCTCCAGGAAGGCAGGTAGAGAGACATTGGCATGCCTCTTGCTAGCCTAAGGTCACCTTTTCGTCAGGCCCTCGAGCCCGCCCCCGTCGTTCTTGTTCCTGTTCGGATTGTGCTTGGAGAGCACTCGCCTCCCTTCATCGCCCCGGCCATCACCCGCGGCCGCCTCGTTTTTCCCGCTACCCTCAGCATCTTCTTCATCAGGGCGCGGTTCCTCCCGAATCGCGTTAACGTCGTATGAGTCGAGCGCGATGAATCGGTAAGAGTCCACGGGGCAAAAACTGTAGTAGAAGCACTCTGCCTCTTCTCCTCTGCCTTCATGCCCAGCCCCTTTACTGGCTTCCAGGGTCAGCGGCTCGCCACTGGGGGGAAGTTCCCCCGCAGGCTGGTCGTTGTCAGTTTCCGGAAGAAGCCCGGACGGTGCAAGTGTCGGAATCGTCTCGGCTGCGCCGGCACCGCAAGCGCTGGGTCGGAGGGTAACAGCCTTGGCGCGGCTCGAGCAGTCCAGCTGACGCGTCACGATCGGTGGTGGGATGGAAATTTTGGCGAATGGTGTCGAGCGCAGCAAGGTCAAAGAGGCTTGATACGGAGCAGACAGGATGGTATCAACAAGAGACCGACTGCCGTATCTCGTGCACGGCTCTGAATAGGATAAAACTATCTTGTGGGTGCAGGGAAAGTGCTCCTTGTCCCCACCGAGGGTGGCGAATATCGAACCCTTGGATTAGCCCGAAGAGAAATTGAATATACCTCTCGCGCCCAGCGCTGCTTGGGGAAGTTGTAAAGCTCGTGGTTGCCGAGGCTGTTGAGCACGCCCAGGGGCAGCGAGGCTGCGAGGCGGTCAACCTCCGCCTTGACGCTCCTCAGTGCCGTCTCGGACTTCTTGTGGGCTTTGTTGCTGCCGTCGATGACGTCCCCCAGCTGCAGCACGAATCTGTGATGCGTCAGGCCGTGCACGGTTGTGGTCACGTCTAGCTAGTCGTGGATCGATGGTAATTGAGGCATGCGACGGGGTCGGATAACCTGGAAAAGTGTTAATGTCATCAGCTACCACACGCCTACCATCGATTCCACAGCGTGCTCGTTGGGCGCCTGTGTACGGTGAAAACGTGTAGAGGGCACCGGAAACCCCCACCAAACACAACTCAGAAACTTACAGAAGCAAAAAAACAAGAACAAGATACAGCCCGAAGCTCGGCAGTAGAAACACCTCTGCCCCCAAAACAACAACCAAAGGCAAACCTGTGCGTTTCGTCCTTCAGCCACACGTCGACCGCCCCCCTCAGCTGCCGCAGCCCGCCTCGGTAGTACCTCCTGTGGTCTTTCTTGAAGTTCCATCCGTCGTCCTGGTCAGCATACTGCACGTCGGCGATCGCCCCGAACGAAAACAGACGCCCTGGCGGCGTTGTTCGTCCGCCTCTCTCGTCTTCGTGAGGGGGCACCGGATCGATGCTGCCCAATCGCGTCGCAGCGGAGGACCTATTTGCGTCCGTGCCTCCCTGTTGATGTCTCGCGATGCCACCGCCGCCGCTGGATGGTGTCGGCCTTAAGGCGGCGAAGGCTGTCGAAGCGGCAGCATCGATGAGTGTCATCACCTCCTATCTCCTCTCTCGTGTACTGTGTGATGCGATGGACGGAACCACTCGCAACACGTCTCTCTGTCCCACTAACCTGTACGGAATTTGCCGCAGGAAAATATCACAGGCGAACGGGAGTACGTGACTGGAGGCCATTGTGGCAAGAAAAGCTTGAATCTTACTTAGCAAATATGGCATGAATGTATTCAGGCGAACTAAGAAAAAAGCAGTAAATTTCGGAAGCGCGAATGAATAGCGGAGGGTGGCCTTTTGGTGTGGAGGGGGCAAAGCTTTGGGCCTCGCTTGAACGAGGAGAGCGATTGGTAAATGGTGCAGATTTCATCTCAAACGTCAAACCCATGAACATGGTCGATTTCGAGCCCCCAAGCACGATGGCCTACTCCTCACCCGCCTTCCTTTTACCCATCGGGAGAATATGGCAGACAGGACAGGCCCACCGCGGGTGCTGTGATACCAGTCTGAGAACGCGAGGAAGTTGCCAGATTCAATTCTACGCGGAGAGACTTGCTGACCTCGCAAGCAACATTTGACACTGCGCCCTCTTCCCGATACAGCAGCAGTGTAACCAGGTAGGTGTCCGCCTTTCTTTTCCATTGTTTTTTGCTTTCGATAATGTTACCCCTTTTATTTCGCTGGGCTAAAGTACCGTTTCTAATCCTGTTCTATGCATAAAACCAAAGCCCTACAAGAACCCTGCGGAGAGATTTGTCAGTCCCTCTGTACAACGTAGGGCAAATATGTGCGGTGGAACCAGGGGACCGGTCTGTGGAAGCTTCGCGGTTCTTCACCACGAGCGGTCGCTTTGCTTGGCTGAACGACGGCCGTGATGTCCTGCCATCTGTAGGCCATGGATTAATGGGGCTGCTCGCTACTGATCCTGCTCTGACGATCGCCTTGGCTCGGCCGACTGGGGTATATATGTACAACCACGTCTGCTCTGCTGTCACGTACAAGTATTGGTGCTGCGTCGTAACAAATCAGATGGCACCAGGAGGACAAGCCCGAAGGTCACGCTCACCTAGTCTCTCGAGTAAGAAGCGCCTTTCGAAGAGAAGGAGAGAGACAGACAGGAGAGGAGAAAGGGGAAGAGGAATGAAGAGCTGGGAAGGAATGACGCTGCGACGCTGCCGTAGTTAACGTAGTTACACATGTTACACGACAAAATATTGCAAAATGCGGGCCAATTACTCAAGTGGTCCCCGGTTCCCGGTGGGAGTTAAGGGAGTTCTACTCTGGCCCTGCTGCATTGACCAGCGACCACAGCAGCAGCAACACCCGTGCAATCACCTCTCGGGGTTGGCGCCACAGGCCGTAGAGGCGGCAATCGGTTTGGTGTGGACAATGGGAGAAACGGAGAGCAGTGGAGGAAAACTCGTGGAACGACTCCCGGTGAGTGTAGAGTAGTCTACTGATTGCACCATCTTGCCTCCGCCAACATGCCGTCTTGGTTCGCAGAACGAAGAACAAGTGGAACGTTCCACGGACGGGTGAATGTATCAGGTATCGAAACCGAAGAAGGCGCCGACCACCGCCGTTGCGTCCTGCGACTTTTGCTGCTGCCTCCTCTCTCGCTGCTAGTTGTGTGATTGTGTGATTATTGTCCTGCAAAGAAAGGCTGGTAAAAGGAGGAGCTCAATACAACACCAGACTCCGGAAACGTACAGACTACAGGCACGACTAGTCCTTGCATGATGGTAGCAGTGCTGCTGTAGACAACAACACTGCGGGACAACATGGGTGTAGAGTGCAGAACGGGTATACACCTCGTATTGATATTCGTCTACCACCGTAACGTTTGCTCCTCGATGGTCATACGTCGCGCGTAACTGCGGTTTTTAGCAGAACCCACTGCACCGGAAAAGCGGAAACCACTGCACAGAATAGTCAATGACACGTAACTACTGTAAATACATAGCACGCAGTGCTGCTGTAGTCTACAGTAGAACAGTCCAGGCGCACGAAGTGTAAATGCAGAGAGAAACATCAACATACAAATCGACTAGATAAAAAGTATGGTGCAATGCAGTACATATAGAACCGTAGTGGTGAGGTAATACGCGGGTGTGGTACTGCAATGCCCCCGCACTCCTGATAGTCAAACCATGTCCATGCCTCCGCCTCCGCTCGCCCGTAACCACCACGTCCTCGTGCAGCCGAGGCTGAGCTCGGTGCTTCGACGAACCGCCGCGGGCGATGGGCCTGGATTCGACCTCGACGCTGAGATCCTGCAGAGAGAAAGGTGCGTGGTCTGGGTTGCTTGGCATGGGGATGGGGTTGTACTTTTGTAAACGCATGTCGAAGTCGTTAGACCCTTGACCTCACATCCCTATCGTAACGGGGCGGAGCGATACGCCGGGTTTTCGCCGGGCCCAGGCTACGTTCCACAAGGATAACGTGGGGGTGGGTGGAAGAAAGAGAGCTACCCTTGTTCCGCGATACGCGACGAGATGCCGGGACCGCGTAGCGTTGGCGGAGAAAGGGGCCACCAGCATCTGCTGGTGTGGTGTATGTTTCGCCCGCCCGTCAGGTTCTCGCCGGACAGCAGAGGACTTGACCTTTCAGCGGAAATTCTACCGGAACGCACGTTCTTTTGGTGGGCTAGATTTCGTCTTGCCAAGCAGGACGCGTTGTCGTGGTCAATCCTGCCCACCACCACCCTCTACGGCAACATGGAAGAGATCTTGAAATCGATAGAGATTTCTTCCACGCGTTCAGAGAACGAGTTTGTTTGAGACACCTCCTCAACGATTTGCGGCTGGACCGTATCATTCGATCTCCTCAACACGAAACACGCGTTTGCGCGAACCCCCGATATGCTTCGTATATTGCATCGACAAGAAGGGGAGCGCGCGGGGGGGGTGCGGGTCAATACGCTTGATGTTTTCTTCGATGCCCAGGAGTTATCGCTACCCTACTAGCTTGCGAGGCACGCACAGATGTAGGAATTACCATCTACAGTATTGTCGAAGAAAATTGGTTTGGTCGACGTATTGTCGTCTTTTCTCGTACTGATCTTCAGGGGGCAAACACGTAACAGTGGACGTAGGTGGAAAGTGGTTCAAGCAACAGAGTGCTCCGTCCGCGTCATCCTCCGTGTGTGCCACTTATTGATTGATCGAGGTGGTGTTTGCGACGGTTTCGTTTCGCCACAAGTACCCAGCAATGCTTGTCCATAGCAGCAACATCAGCAGGAGATTCACTAGCGGCAAGTGGAAGATACGTAGCCACACGACACAACAGACTCAACCGCGAAACATGAAAATGACATCACCCCGCCTGGGATTGCACGAAACAGGGCCGAGTCCCAATGGGAGAGCCAGGCCGACGCCAGAGCTTCCGCGCCCTTCTCCTGGAAGGCGTTTACCGAGAAAGTGCCTGAGAGCGAAGCGCAGCGGGCCGCCGCGGAGCAAGACAAGTTTCGCAGGTACAATGGCACGGCGTTGCCAGTCAGCAGAGCGAAGCACAACGGGCATATTGCGAGTTTGTTCTCCCTTGGAACAGCTGTGGTGTTCGCCCGTCTACTCCTCTACAGCAGTTTGAGGAACACGTGGTGTATAGACCATAGTCGTGGTCTGGAAAAACGGGCGGGGGTGGGGGGACAACAAACACGTCGCCATCAACCGAAACAAAAGATTTATTCTGCTCCTTCTATATAGTGTGGGACACGGTATTGACGTATTCTCGAACATGAGTATACAAGCACATCATTTGACGACATGCACCACCTCTACGCGACCTTGCATACCCGGATGCCTTGCTTGCCGGAGAGCAGGTACTGCAGGCTCGCCGGGCAGCTGGCGGGTGGGCATGACGGCGCGGCGTTTCCCAACGCTGACAGGGCCCTTTTCCAGGCGATCAACGCGGGCCCGAATGCTGCTGGCAAGGCAAAGAGGTGAGTGAGAACGTGTCTTGAAACCGTTTGCAAGATCCTAAACCCTACGCCATTTGGAAACCCAAGCCCCAGGGAGGATAGCGGAAGTCAGACCCAAAGGTTTGGAGCCTGGAGTATATACAGCCGGTGCGTTGCTGTTCGTGGGCGTCGGAAGGTTTTGGCGGTTTCACGACCGGCGTTTCTTCCGAGCACGGGCTGGTGGTGTTGTCAGCGCACGACCCGTGTTGGGGAATCGAAGTAGACAAACGTCAAGTCATCTGGTACCTGCCTACAGCAGGAGTGGCATTGGACTTGTGCTCTTGAGAAGGTGCTCTGTGAACGCTGGTGATGTTGCCGCCTTTTGGGGGCACGTAGTCATGGCCGTTTCAGATGGCACCCCTAGGTCCGGGGGTGGAGGCAGATAAACTTGGCACTAGCGTGAGACGCGAGGACTACACGGCAGTCGTGGAGTGGGCCGAAAATTCTTCCGTTTTCTTTTCCTTTCTGCTGTTTCTTCGCTTGTTTTTCGTAGGGCGCACTATGTGAATAGTCGTTCGGAGCCTTGTATCGCATAAGGATTATTGCGTTGGTGTTCGGGGGGTCTCGGCTGAATGTCCCCCACTTGCGTCCCGACAGAGGCGAAAGGTCCCTACGGGAATATACCATGGTATATCAACAACAATAACAACAACCATCCCACAGCCACAACAGCAACACCATGACGCAGAACAGGCAACAACCGACACCAACATGCCTCACCCTATCCCTCCAGGGACCTCGAGCTCGTGGTGGGGAAGGTGGCCGAGAGCGACTGGGACGATGCGGCATCCCTCGCCAAGGAGCTCCACGCTTGGAGGCGCGACCGGGTCCGGGCATCACAGCCGCACCCGCCTGCGGCACCGCTCCGAACACCAGAGGCACGGGCGCCGGCGGCAGCCAGAGGCCAGCGGGGGCGGTCGCTGCTGTTCGGTTCCGAAATCTCGTTCAACTTCGACCTCGACGCGCGGGCTCCGGAGGAGTCGGAGGACGAGCTGGACAGGGCGTTTCCCGGCGTGAACGGGGGCGGAGCCTCGGGCGGTTTCGCTTTCGACAGCTTCGAAAGCTTCGTCGGCATCAGCGCTGACAGCGGCGGCGGCGGCAGCGGCTGGGGGGCGACGGCGGCTTATGAGCAGCAGCGGTGGCGGCCTGGGGCGTGCGCGACGGTCGACGACCAGGCATCTTCATCCTCGCTGGGTGGCGAGGAGGAAAAAAAGCACCCTGTCCGGGACGTTGGTGGCGGTGCCGCGGAGGGAGGCGCTGTCCACGCCCCTCTTACTTCGGGTACCGGTTCCTCGGGAAAAGCGGGCGCGGAGGGAGCGGCTACGGCTGCAGAAGCGTTTGACGCCGGTTGGCTCTATTCCAGGTGCAGGTTTCGCGCGTGTTTCGCCCCTTCGGTACTGCTGATGAGATGCCGTGCATGCCCCCCCCCCACCCCCCTTTTTCGGGAAATATGTTACGCAGTGGCGTGGGTGGCAAATACGACAACACTAGCTCCCGGGAACAGAATGGTCTAACAGATAGCAACTGCCAGTGTTGTCGGTTTTTAGCCTTCACACCGCCCCGCCAGCTTTCCGCCTTTCTTGGTAAGGACGGGCAGCGGCTGAGGAGGCACGACGGGACCTCGCGTCCTCCCTGCTCTTCAGGCTACAGGATGGTTGCGTTTTTGGCGACAGAAGCGGCCACCTCCTTTCATTGCACAATTCCACAACAATACGATGGGCTTGAAACCGCCTGCTCCCGTCCGTCCCTCCAGGTGCATGCAGTTTCACGCCCAGCAAGGGAGTCGGGGGCTACCCCCCGTGGACCTAGCCTCTTCCGTCTTGGAAACCCTCTCCCGAAGCACCGACCCCGGGGAGTTGCAGGTGATAATATGCGAAATGAACATTTGAGGGAGCCAGGGGGGCAGCAGGTCGAGCATCCAGGGAGCTGCGCTAGCTCGATAATTAAGAGACCGTTGCGTTTGGGCAGGCGGCAGCTAGTAGAACGAGAGTATGCGTAAGCGACGCTTGCTTCTGCTAGGTCTCTCTTTGGTGCCTGGAGGGCCCCCTCTCCACGAGCGTGTTCAACGGGTCAGAGAGGGGGTGACCGTGTTTCGTGTTTCGTGAGAGGGGTGCAGCGTTTCGTACTCCCGAAGAGCTGCCCAAACAAAAAAAGTCACTGTCGGCTAGGTTTTGTAGAGAGCAGGAAGGCGACGACGGTGTAGGCGCAAGGACGGCGAATGAGCCTTGCTTGAGGAGCAACAATACCCCAAAGTCTTGGTTGTTTCTCTCCACCCGCGGGCCTCAAAAGCAGCAGAGCCCGAAGGTGTCGTCGCCAGAGTAGCAGCAGCCCGGCCCTGAAAGGCACTCCAAGGGTCAGAACGAGCCCTCAAGAAGTCGGCACCCGTTGCTTCGTTTGGCTCCGCAGGGACCCCTGTTCGACATATTGGGGGAGTCGGGCCTGGAGCTAATGATGGAACTCATCGACAAGGCGCCTGCGCTGGGTCGGATCGACGCGAGAGACTTGTTCGCGATCGCCGATGCCCACGGTGGTGGTGGCGGCGGCGGCGGCGGCGGCGGCGGCGGCGGGGGCTCCGCTGGTATCGGCGGCTTTGACGGGGGTGGGGTGGCCGCGGGGATGGCGGAGATGGGTCTGGGCGGGGACGACGCAACCGGCAGGTAGAAAACATGTTTTTGTGTTAGGGTACAATCGTTGTGTTTATCTTGGCGAGCGAGTGTTTTGACAGCAAAGGAGGCTTAGGGTTCGGTAGCTTGGTATTGCACGTTTTCAGCGCTTTCTCGTCTCTCGGTTTATCACAATGGTTTGCTCGACCTCGGAGAACACTATTTCAACCATCTGAAGTTACACCCGTTTCTTCCTCTAGTTTTTTTTTTTTTTGCTATTTCTTTCGTGGACTAGAAAGCCGAAATGGTCCCCTTGTTTCCGCGTGTTTTTCTCCGTATGTTTTGTGTTCACCGCAATCTTTGTTGTCGACAAAATAGACTAGGAAGTCGTCATGTGCAGTAGTTTTCCCCTTCGGTTTTCTTTTGGTTTTTTCGTGTTGCCCACCATATTTTGTTGACAGTAGACCGGAAGCCGATATGTATTTATTTTGCATTTTCGTGCTGGGCCACGATAAATTGTGGACAGGTCTGGGCCGACCATCTCCCGGCAGATCAAGATCTGGTCGACCTCAGAGAAGGAGGCGGAGAAGCTCCGTCGAAAGGATCTCAAGAAGGCCGCCAAGCGCGGGGGGGTAGTCGCCGGCGGTCAGGGCCAACAAGACGGCGGAGCAGGCGGGAGGGACGGTGGCGGCGGTCTGGACTGGCTGCAGTCTGTTGGGTTCGAGGAGGAGTACCTGAAGCAGGTCTGTCTGTCTTTGGATATTTAACACTGATGAATGCATTCAGGGAGGAAGGGGGGCGGTTTAGTCGCGTTTCTTGTGTGCTCCAGCGGGGGTGATTCACAGTCCGTTACACGTGCACGTGATTTCCTTACTTCGGCGGGAACGGTCAACACCAACAGCTTTGCTTTTTGGAAGGGGAATGTAAAAAACAACGATTTCAATGGACCAACCTGACTACTTCAACTAGTGAAAAAATCCTATACGAAGTATAATGCATTTGGCCTTCGAAAAAATGTGGTTTGCTTTTTGTTTACCTTGTATTTTCCTCGGTGGTTTTCGTCCGTTCTATTCTTTTCTACAGGAGCGTCTTCTCGGGCTGCAGGCAGGCGGTACCGGCGGCGGCGAGAGCGAAGAGGCGATGATGCTAGCGGGGTTGGCGCCGGAGGGCACTAGGGAGTGGCACGATCGCAGGTCCGGCATGCCAGCGGGGGCCACGAAGACGGTAGTGGCCGGCCAGTACGAGCAGGTACAGTAGGGGGGACCCCGGAAATTCGGTTTCTCACGCGTTGGGTGGTTCGCTTGCTGCAGGAACATCGAGCAATTGTTAAAGCAGGAATGATGGAGGGAAGTGCGAAGTGACTATTTAGCGAGGGAAGGGCTTTTTTTGGGGGGGGGTCCCTGCTACCTATGGTTGGTTGGTTCGTGAGTACGCGCGGAGGGTCTGGGCGGAGGTCAAAGCGCCCTTCAGGGCGGGGATGGCGACGGCATCGAAGATGCGTCTATGGGGATAAGCGTTAAACGTGTAGCTTGCGGTGCAACATTGCTGGTGGTGATGTTCGTGTTTCTATTTCGTCGGGTGATTGCTGTTTCGGTGCTGTTGCAGTTGCTGCCGCTACCCACTGCTGCCAATTTTTCGAACATTTCGTTTTTTCACTGCGATGAAGTTACGTTCCTTCTTTTGTAACGACAGAAGTGTGAAGAAGTACAACGGACGGTAACAACAACAACAACGGAGGTGGCAGCTTTTATAGTATAGTTTTGACGATTTCGATTGTTCCAGGTGAACGTGCGTCCTGTTCTCTCTCTCATGCTTTGGACCCGTTCATCCGATCGAAATGTTGTGAAATGATGTCACCGCAGGTTCATATCCCACCCCCAAAGCTCAACCGCAACAAGGATGGGGAAGGTCTGGTGCCGATCACGGACCTCGAGCCGTGGGCCCAGATGGCTTTCAAGGGGACCAAGCGGCTGAACCCCATGCAGAGCAAGGCAAGTATTGCCTGTCAAGGTGTCAGGAAAATGGTTTGAGTAATTAGTATTTAGTTCCTCTTCTAGCCAGAAAGGTGTAGACTGATATCGCGATAACTGCGACAAAGAAAGCCATTGTATCGCAGTCGGATCGGCTTCAGCCCGACGGGTGCACCAAGACGCCCTGGGCACGTCGATGTTTTCTTTCGTTTTTTCGATGCAGGGATTTTGATGAGAACACGCGGAACAGACGCTGTCCTTTTGCCACGATGCACTGCGACCAACGGCGGGAGCGACATGGCTACGGCATAAGGATTGCAATGGAAATATGAAAACCACTTTGGCCACGGTGCACTACTGCTGTATGACCCATAGCGCTAGCAGTACGGCTACGGCATACTCGACACCCCCACCTCAAAAACTTTCATCGGCACTATATCGACAAGAAGACCACCGTTTTTATGGACAACCGAGCTACTGTTTTTCGTGGTTCACCTACCCCCGATCCCCACCCAGGTTTACCACGCCGCCTTCAAGACCTCGGAAAACCTCCTGGTGTGCGCCCCTACGGGTGCGGGCAAGACGAACGTGGCCATGCTCTCCCTTCTGCAGGCAAGATTGCCTGCGAAGAGGTGGCCTTGGCCCTGTTTCACGTACCGCTGCGCTCGTTGCTGGGCGTTTTTCTGACGTGTGGAACACATGCCGAAGTGTTGAGTTTTCGCCATGTTTTTTTTTGGATGTGATGTCGTGTTGTGCTCATCTCAAGTTATTTGCGCTCTCGAGCTGATATGTACGCGTTTGTTACGTTCTTCCCTGTTTTTTTTGTGAATTTTTCGTTTTGGTTTTCGCAGCTTGTCAGGCAGCACATCCGAGGGGGTGCGCTCGACCGCAGCGGCATCAAGGCCATCTACGTGGCCCCCATGAAGGCCCTGGCCCAGGAGGTGGTGTCCAAGTTTTCCCAGAGGCTTAAGCCGCTCGGACTGGTGAGAGGCGTGGGCGAAAAACGCCCTGTCCGCTGATTTTGACAAGTGTGATGACGCCTGTCCGTGTTTGTTCGTTGATGGTGCTCCACAACTGTCAAATGTTACATCCGATTTTTACACCCCGCTTGGTGGGCAGTTTGTTGTGCATGTCACATGAGCAAGGTGCTGCCGTTGGTGCAGTTGTGTGGTGGTCATGATTGCGCATAATCAACGATTTGTTCCGGCGAACCCAAAAACAAGGCTCAAGTATTTCGGAGATCACTTATTTTGCGCCGCCATTTTCACAACTATTTATGGTGTTTATGTTGATGGTTATATGTGACGCCTTCTCCCCAGGTGGTTCGTGAGTACACCGGGGACATGCAGCTGTCCAAGCAGGAGGTCGAAGGTTCGCAGGTGAGTGAAATTATTCCCCGGTGCGAACGAATGCTATCTTGTTGTTGTTGTTGTTGTTGTTGTTGTTGTTGTTGTTGTTGTTGCTTTTGTTGTTGTTGTTGTTGTCCTTGGCACCTCGTCGTCTGCAGCGTGACTGCGCTAAGAATTCCGGTTCCGGTCAGATTTGTGGGTAGAACAGGATTTCTGGGAGAAGTCGGAATATCTTGTCCTTTTCACGGCGAAAGATCCCTTTCCAGTCCCAACCACCACCACCACCACCACCGACGACGACGACGACGACGATGACGATGACGACGCAACAGGTGATCGTGACTACCCCCGAGAAGTGGGACGTTGTCACAAGGAAAGGCGGCGACGGGTCTCTGGTGTCTTCCGTTGGTCTCATCATGATCGACGAGGTAAGCCCACACGACTTGATAATCTTTACCTCACCCCAATTAGACTATTCATGTTCCTTTGAGCATACATTTTTGTTCTTTTTTTCTCCGCCGCGTTCTGTGTAGCGTCATGTTCCCCTGGGCATGTTTTTCTGTTCATTTTTCTCCGTCGCGTTATGTGTAGCGCTGGGCGGTTGATGAAGAGAACGGCGCAGCTGCTCAACAAATCCCACCGTATTGGTGGCGCTTTTGAACACGGTGATGCAAGCGGATGAAGCGGTGGTGACTTATGATATTTCGACGTGGGTCACATGTCGAGTCCCATGTCTCGACAGCAACAACGGGAAGGACTAGATCCTGTACCGATTGCGACGCTGAGGGTGATCACTGCTGTCCTCCTGCAAACGGAACAGTCGAACACGCGACCATGCTTAGTGTTTCATTGCCGTTGTTGAGGGTACGGTACTGCAAAGAGGAGAATGATCGATGGCACTAGGGTCGGCACTAAATCGGTCGTTACGCAGGTGCATCTGCTGGCCGACGAGCGAGGCGCCGTGATCGAGAGCATCGTGGCGCGGACGCAGCGGTACATGGAGACGACGCAGACGCTCATACGGCTGGTCGGGCTCTCGGCAACGCTTCCAAACTACCAGGACGTGGCATCGTTCTTGCGGGTGTGTGTGTGACAGAGAGAGAGAGAGAGAGAGAGAGAGAGACACACACACACAGAGACAGACAGACAGACAGACAGACAGGCAAACAGCGATAGCGACAGACAGGCAGAGAGACAGAGACAGAGAAGAGATTTCGGCGTGGATCACAGTGCGAGTTTGCCTATTTAATGAATTTCACGCGCCCATGTTTAGATTCTCTGTACTTGTTCCACCTGAACACGAAAAGTTCACTGCACATTGTTGGGTTTGAGAGCCGTTAGAATTCTCCCCTGCGTCGCACGAGTTTTCACCCGTCTTTTCGTTGGTTTCTCGTTTTCACCGCTTCGCGTCTGACTTGGTTCCTGTTCGAACGTTTCTAGGTGAACTCTAGCAAAGGGCTATTCCACTTTGGACCGGAGCATAGGCCTGTGCCCCTGGAGCAGACGTTCATCGGGGTAACCGACAAGCAGAGGGTTCGCCAGCAGGTGAACGCGGTCACTGTTTGCTGCTGCTGCTGTCGTCGTCGGGGGAGGGAATCGGTGGGAGGGATGGGGCTTTTGTTGACCGCGTGTGTGTTACTGTGGTTGTTGTTGTTTGATATGGCGAAGGGCGGTACTAGGTGTCCAGGCCGGTGGGAGAAAGGAAGGGTTTGCTTCAATATTCGTAGGCGTCTTCGACTAACACTTTTTTGCAGATTTTTCGTGCAGCAGTATTTCCAACGTAAGTTCTTTACCACCAATACCGTCGACAAACGTATGTTTTGTACCACATCATTTCATTGCTTTCATTTCATTTTCTCGGCCATCTTCTGCGTGGCCTCACTTATACTTCCTCTACGCCGATGGTGCCTGCACCCAAGTGCTCATCATGTTGCTGTTGTACTCCATTCTATTCCCGCCCAACTGCACCCCATATTTTTTTCAATCGCCGCCGCCGCCGCCACCGCCGCTGCTGTTGCTGCTGCTCCTGCTGCTCCTGCTACGTGATCGTATCCCCCAACATCTAGGCGATGATGAACCGAGTGGCCTACGAACGGACGAGAGAGTCGCTCCAGCGAGGTCACCAGGTGATGGTCTTCGTACACGCAAGGAAGGACACCGTCAGGACCGCGCAGGTATGGCGTGTTGATGATCTGCATCGGGCGATGTCGTCTGTAACATTGACGCTGTGCCAAAGAGATCGCGCGCTTCACGGGATTGGGATCGAAAAGACATGTCACAGGTTGTATTCCGTACGTCCGAAATTCGCGTTCGGATGATGCCTTTGCAGCGCATGCTTGACGGTCAGCTGCTCAGCCAAGAACTTGGCTCGACGCCCGCATGCCTGCGCCATCGTACTCTCGTACCAATACCTTACCTCTGCGTGCCTACGTGCGCGATCTTCGCGATGGTTTCTTGTGGACCGATGCCTATGCGCCTACGGCCTCCTGCTCCTGTACCAAAGCCCTGCCTTTGCGTGACCACGTGTGTGAACTTGGCCATGGTGTCCTGTGTGTCTGCTTCGCCCGGACGCAGGCCATCCTGGAGCTGGCCCAGCGGGACAACGCCTTCGATGAGTTTTCCTGCGCGAACTCGGAGCACTGGGGGAGGCACGCCCACCAGGCAAGCCGATTGCTTGCACGCTTCGTATGCGTGGTTGCCTCAGAGACAAGGCTCGCGGGCGTAAGCTTGGCGTCGACGCTCATGTTTGTGGGCGGTGTACCCACGGGCGGTGTACCCACGGCTGCCGCCGGCGCCAGGCGCGGCTGTCTCCGGCCGCTCCTGTTGACAATGTTCAATGTTGACAACGCAGGCTGTGGTGTGCCTTGCGCTCGGGGTATCTGATCGCATCGCTATCGTCACCTCATTCTCATCGAGTTCTTGTCACAATGCGCTTGTACCGGCCCGCTGTTAAGACACCTCGGTTTCGGGTCAAGGCTTATTCTTTTGTATCGTCGCCAGGGTCCAATTTCTATGGGATCGTCGCCATCGTCCAACATGGACTGTCGTTCTTGGATGTAGTGTACGAACCACATTGAGTCATGTTTGTGTTTTCCCCCAAACCCTTGTGTAGGAGAAAAATTAAATGACTGTACATCTGTTTTTCTTGGCATGATATTTTTCCTGCCAAGCAGGGACTACGTGTGCCTCTATACCGCGCCAAACGCCGCGCGATGTTGATGACGTTGTGCTTCAGGTGGAAAAGTCCCGCAACAAGGAGCTGCGGGATCTGTTTCAGGCGGGCGTGGGCTGCCACCACGCCGGGATGCTCCGTGCCGACAGGGGCCTGACGGAGAGAGCTTTCGAAGACGGTGCCATCAAGGTACCGCTTCATGGGGCAGCCACTTTGGCTTATGTGTGCATGGTGCTTGGCTTTAGTTGGATGCAACGCAAAGCTACCCTTCGGCCAGCGCCCTGGCGCGAAAGGACAAGATCAAGGGGAGATCTTGGCCCTGATCTGGTTTGAGTTGCATTCTTGCAGGCTTTGGAAACAAACCTACACTGTTGTTTTATTCCCTTGCTATTGGTCGTTGTTGCGCCCCATCCTCTGGAACCTGATTTGAAAACCACATTACATTACCCTCATCTATTCGGTTTCTGTTTGCTCGTTCTCTTGTTTTTCTGAGGGAAGGTGCTGGTATGCACAGCTACCCTAGCGTGGGGGGTCAACCTCCCGGCGCACACGGTGATCATCAAGGGGACGGAGGTTTACAACCCGGAGAAGGGTGGTCTGCAGGACCTAAGCATGCTCGATGTGCTCCAGGTGAGGCATCCCAACACTGCAGTGCAGGCCAAGAGGAAGAGCTCGCTTGGAAGCCGTAGATGTTATTTGTTTATTCTGTTGGTTTGTAAGTTTGTTGTCAGTTTGAGAGGGAGGCACAAGCCTACGATCTTTTGTACCAGTACCTCGGGTGAACAAACGCGAAAGAGAACATAGCTTGCCCCCAGAAAGCGGTAGAAGGAGACGGAAGCATGCGTGAAAATGTGCGAGAAGAACAATGCCGATGTTGTTATTGTGATTCCTGTCCGCTAAATTAGCACCCCCTCTCAACCAAGCTTTCTGGCCGCCACGGCCGCAACCAGCTTACGCTTCATACGTCATCGGGAGCCCAGACCGATCCCTTCTGCGATGTTCAAGACGTTTTTCGTGGACTTTGCGACCCCTCCCCAACCTGTACCCCCTGAGCTCAAGCGCCACCTGAGTGATGTTCTCGGTTCTTGGTTCCCCGGTCATTTCGTTTTTTTTGTTTGTTTTTTCTTCCAGGTGTTTGGGCGTGCCGGGCGGCCTCAGTATGACACCAGCGGGGAAGCAATCATGATCACAACACACAAGTCGCTCGACAAGTAAGCCTTGTCACCATGCTGCGTCTTTTCTTCCGTTCCTGTGTCGTTCCACGAGCCAGCGGCACCACACTGATGCTGTTTCGTGATGGATATAGATGGATATACCAAGTGTCTCGTGTATATTGGTACAGTCGTGCAACAGGAGTGGATGATGCTGTGGTTGCTGGTGCTAGAGTAGTCGCACGCGTTGTGTTCGTAGGCAGGGTTACGTCGGAGTCCTTTTATTGTTTGCTGTTGTCGTTCTTGTCGGGGGTGGAACTCGTGCGGAGGACCTCTTTTGGTACCAGCAAAAATACTAGAGTTCCCAAGAATGCTTAATAGTGCTGTGCCGAACTGTTTTGTTTTCGGCATGATCTACGACCACCACCACAACTAGCCAACGCACGACCCGCACCGAAATCACAACAAATACACCGCCAAAAGGTACCTGGCCCTGCTGGCGAAGCAAACGCCCATCGAGAGCGGCTTCATCAAGGCCCTGCCCGACCACCTTAACGCCGAGGTTACGTCGGGCACGGTGACAACGGTTGAAGAGGCGAGTGGGCAAGAAATGCAGTTGGTTGGTCATAGGCGCGGACGGGGGTTCCGCCGTTTCATGAGCGTGTGCTGGGGAAGGATTGCAAGACGTACACTTCGCACCCCACGTCATTCCGTCGAACGCTTCCGCGCAACATTTGTACGCAGGCAACGCTTGAGATTGCGAAGTTTTTGTGTTAGGGATTGTGCTCTTCTCGTTAACAGTGTCGGCACGGCCGTGACGGCCGGTTGAGAACCCCCAAGAAAATCTCTATGGATGTATGGATTGAATATTGGGACTAGGCTCAGGGAACGAGAAACGGAGTCCCCGGGGAACGTGTGGGGCTCTTGAATCCTGCCCCCGCTTTTTGCTCTAGTTGTGCGTTAGAGTCTAGGTTGCATCGGTCTTGGCCTTTGATCACTGGAGTTTATTCGGATCTGTACGATATAGCGCTAGGGTACCAGACAGGAGCTCTCGACAGAACGTCAACAAGTCGAGGTCACCAAGAGTTATCCGCATCCACATTAGCATCAGCGTAACTATGAGTAACAACACAACGGCGATCACGACGACGACAATGACGATCAACGAGTCATCCACGCCAACCATGACGACAGCAAATTAACACAAGAAAACTCAAAAAGAACACAAACGAAAAGCAACAGAAACAACGGTCACAGCAGCAGCAGCCGAAAGCACCGTGTCTTCCCCCCGTCGGCGCATGCTTTGGCCAACTGAACAGGGCATAACCTGGCTCTCGTACACGTACCTGCACGTCCGGATGCGGCGCAACCCAATGGCCTACGGAGTCCCCCTCTCAGACAGGGAGGCCGATCCCATGTTGCTGGAGAGGAGGAGGCAGCTCATCGTGCAGGCGGCGGAGACCCTCGACGACCACAAGGTTTGGGGTCTGCATCGGTTCACTCTTTGTTGGTGTTTGATCCGAGACCTTTCGTGTCCATTGTTCTTGTTTGCTGACTGGCGTTGTTTGAAACTTCTGTACCGTGCAACAACTGGAACTGGAGCCGGATGTTTTGCTTCAAACTAGCAGCATGTTGCACCCCGCCGGGGTGTTGAACCACCCAAAGACATGTATTTTGTGCTTGCCGCGAATTGTTTTTTCTCTTCAACACGAATCGTGATGGAGGCACTTGCGCGAGCTAATGATCTCCGCATGACATGTGTACACCTGTCCACCTTCAGTTTTGGTGGTGTTGCCTACGGTCGAACGCGAACGGATCAAGTAACTTCGGTGTACATGTCCTGCCATCCCCCTCTCTCTCGCTGTGTGTGTATCTCCCTATCTCTCTCGTCTTCATCTTCGTGGGTTTCCGAAATGTGTTGCGATCTTGCACATATTGAGGCGGAAATTCGTGCTTCTCCGCGCAATACCCCCTCCTCCTCCGTTCATTGCCCGAACGTTACGGCCATGTACGAGTTTGAACACCACCCGACCCATTGACCCCTTCCAATACCAATACCTACAGATGTTGCGGTTCGACCGGCGCTCGGGCAACCTGGCGGTCACCGACCTGGGCCGCGCTGCTTCCCACTTCTACATCAGCCACGAGAGCGTGTTCCGCTTCAATGACGCCATGATGCCGACGCTGGCCGACGCCGCCGCTGTGAACCTCGTCTGCCTCGCCAGCGAGTTCGACCAAGTCAAGGTACAGCGGTGTACGAGTGAATCAATGTCTCCCTCCGTGTCTCTTCTTCGTTTATTTTAGTTAACTCTGTTATGAAAAAGGAGCGGCCAACCATTCATGACCGCCGCCGCCGATTTCGACGAGGATAAGGCTACTGATTCGACCTCCGTGGCGTCTCAGGTTTTACGTCTCCTTGGAAACTGCTGGCTAACCTACAGCTCTCGTGTTATGCTGTGTATTTGTGTTTGTTGTTCTGGGACCCTTTCACGACCGTCCACTGGATGATGATGCCGTGTTGTGTGATGAGATGTGTCGTTTTGCGTCTTTGCGTTTTCGGTTCTCAGGTGCGGCCGGAGGAACTCAAAGACATGGACATCATGCGCAAGAAGTGCCCTCTTGAGGTAAGGGTTGAACTCCTTTTCTAACTCCATCGCTGCTCCTTAGACCTCACGATTCATCGGTATTCTGTTCCAGTGTTCAGCCGCAGCCCCGACACGGTTGGCGTGCAGATACAGGTCCCGATTGAGGTGGCCTGCCTCCCCTTCCTAGTCCAACTCACCCTTCACAGCTGGAGGGAGGGATACGGAAATGCTTGTGCATGGTCATCCTCTCTTGCTCTGCTGTGTTGGTTGTTGTTTTCTGTAGAGATGCGGTCCTGAACTATGGCCCACGCGTTCAACCCTCCCGCGCTCTTCCTGATCTCGATGGCGGGGGCCCCGCAAAGAGAGTATGGCCCCATAAAGAGGGTAGGTGCGGGGCTGAATGATATCCACGAGTCAGAGCCGCCCTGCCTTCCACGTGGGCTAGAGCATAGCAAGATGTTTGTCCATGACCACATCGGCATCCTGGCCGCTGGTACTCGTGCCACCAGCTACATATCGCTGGAACACACGCAGCGAAGCGCTCTCCCCCCCCCCCCCCCCCCGCACACACACCTCTTTATCACGGGCATTGGTCACACGCTTTCGCTGTCGCACAACCTAGTTCCCCTTCCCCCCAACCGGCTGTGAAAGCACCAGACAATAATCAATTCATAAGCAGCTGTCACCCGTACGCAAGGAAGTAAGCACAAGATGCCGAACACCCATAGCAGGATGCAGCGCGCCCTTCGTGGGACCTCAGGGTGCTTCGCGCTTGGTGACGTGAGAGCCTGGTCCGGTGAGCACCCGGCGTGCTCCGTCCCGTCTTTGTAGGGATGCGAAGTCAATGGTCCAACAACTACGGCATGCACGACTATGAGTACACCCCCCCCCCCACCCGGCTGAAACAAAACGAAAACGACCAAAGGTGAGGGCTCCCCTTGAAGAGTCGGCCGGGAAGGTGAACGTGCTACTTCAGTCTTACATCGGAGGCGAGAGGCCCAAGAGCTTCACCCTGGCGTCGGACACCAACTACGTGGCGCAGAACGCCGGGCGCGTGTCGCGCGCCGTGTTCGAGATCTCCCTCAGGAAAGGGTGGTGCGGCCTGGCCCTTACGATGCTGGAGATCAGCAAGGCCGTCGACCGGCGGGTCTGGTGGGTGAAATAGACGCTACCCGTGCACGAGCTGCTGATTAGGGAGCGGGGGGGAATATTTTTTTGCGTTCGTTCCCGCAGGGTCTGATGGGTGCTGCCGGCCTGTGCGGGAGCTGCTGATTGGGGAAGTGGGGTGATTTGGTTTTCGAGCTTCGGCAGGGTCGGACGGGTTATGCCGGCCTTTTGTAGGAGCTGCTGATTGGGCAGGGACTTTTGGTTGTTGTCCGTTCGGCGTTGGTTTCTTGGAAAACGTTTTTAGCTGGAGAGATCCACGAAGGCGATCGCGATCGACGCGGTCTTGGTGTAGTTTCCAAGCTCTCGTCGGGGCTTTATGTCTGGAACTCCTGAGGGATGGACGGGTTCAAAAGCTTCAGATGGAGCTCCAATCCATTCTTGTGGGTGGTGCTGTATGTTGGCTTTGGTAGCTGGCTTGAAGTGTTGTCCTCCTCGTTCATGTTCTTTTTCAGGTGGTTCCAGTCTCCCCTACGACAGTTCGGTGTTCTCCCCGGGCATGTCCTCATGAACCTTGAGGGGAAGGGGGGCGGCGGCTCCGGAGGGATCGGAAAGCTGCTCGACATGGACGCGAGGGAGGTCGGAGCGCTCTGCCACAACCATCGCATGGGGGACACGGTGAGGGAGTGGTTTCTTGAGGGCGGGGTGCGTGTGTGAGGAGAGCAACAAGACTGCCTCCGTGTTGTTGTTGTTATTGTTGTTGTTGTTGTTGTTGTTGTTGTTGTTGTTGTTGTTGTTGTTGTTGTTGTTGTTGTTGTTGTTGTTGTTGTTGTTGTTGTTGTTGTTGTTGTTGTTGTTGTTGTTGTTGTTGTTGTTGTTGTTGTTGTTGTTGTTGTTGTTGTTGTTGATGTTGTTGTTGTTGTTGTTGTTGTTGCTGTTGCTGTTATTGTTGTTACTGCCGTTGCTCTTTTTGTAGTCGGTGCTATTGTCGCCATCGTTGCCGTTTTTGTTGTTTTTGATGATGATGATGTGGCTCTTGTTCTTGCTGTGCGTGGTGTTGTTGTTGTTGCCGTTGCTGTCACTGCAGTCGTTGTTTCGCTCGTCGTTCTTGTGTCGTTCTTGTTGATGATGGTGCTGTCCCTGTTGCTGCTGTTGCTGTTACTGCCGTTGTTGTAATTATGGCTGCTGGTAGCAAGCTTCTTTTGCCGTGCCAGTCTCGGTGTTGAGATCGTTTCGACATGGGGTCTCTTGTTCAACACTCAGTTCTACTACCAGGGTCCAGCACACGACACTCTAGTGTGAATCGTGAAATGAAAATCTTGCACACCAGGTGGAAACCGGGTCGGTATTGTGTGTGTTTTCACACTACCCTTCGAGATCGTGCGATTCTGGCCCTACCACCACTCGAGCAAATGTTTACGAAGCTTCCCTTGTGGGTTTCGTCTTACGAAGGTGTTCAGGGTTTTGACACTCCTGCAGGCGTTTGGATCACCGATTACAATGACGTCAGGACAACGACAAATTTAAGCCAATGAGCAAATGATGACCTAACCCGCGCCCCGATTTCTGGCCGACTCCGTCCACATACACAGGTGCTGCGGCTGGCGAGATCACTGCCGGCGTTGCACATCGAGACGTCCGTGCAGCCCGTGACTAGGGGTATTCTCAGGATGACGCTCACCGTTTCCGCGGAATTCCTTTGGCAGGTGCGGTGGCACAAAGCAGAAAACGAAGACGGCAATAGTAGCAACGTTCAGTCACCGCTGGGCAGTAGCCAAGGCCGGCTTGCAAAAGCGCCCCTATTGTGTGTCTAGGGGGGGAAAGTCACGTGCAGTGTCAATCTTCACTTTTTGTGTGTTGTTTTTCATCCTTTTCATTCTGGGCGCCGGTCCGCGCGTTTCGTTATACGCTCGACATACCGACGCGGGGAACAGAGGGCTGGCGCATTGTTTTTTGTGTGCAGGTTCTAACCTATTGGCGATTTATGGGTTGGTTGAGGGCGCTGTGGTTGTAGGCACGCATGCATGCATCTGTGCTGGTGTCTTCAGTCTTTTTATCACCGCGCCAAACCTAGAGGCCAAATGCGTTGTGATGGGTCTTGGACTGGTGCCGGTATTCGTATGTGGCGGTTGGTAGGACAAATTCCACGGAGCGACGGAGGCGTTCTACATCTGGGTGGAGGACGGCGACAACGAGCACGTGTATCACTCCGAGAACTTTCTCCTCAAGAAGTGAGTCATCGCACCGAAAGCGGCGAACGTTTTGTTCGGAGCAGTACGGAAGTCCATGTGTTGCATGAAACTTACACGCCGCTGCAAGAGGGCGTGGCCTACTGTTTGTTTGGAGCAGTACGGGAGTCCCTGTGTTGCATGAAACTTGAACGCCCCCAAGAGAGGGGTGTGACACGTGGGTCGAGTGCCTCTGTCATTGTTGCGTTCGCAGTAATAGCGGTTCCGGTCTCACTCAGGTTGACATCCTTGCTGATGTAAATATCGCGGCCTGGTTCAACTATTGCGGAAGACTTCCGTGGTCGCAGGCTAACTTCCCCAAGAGGGTACTCCATATTTGAATAATCGCAGAAAAAAACAAAACCCAGAAAATCAACCGGGTGGTGGGTGGTCATCGCGGGTATGGACCTAAAAAGGACAACACACAAGATTGTCTTGCACGGCACGGGGGGTGGGGGCCCAGGCTCTGGAATTCCTTTTCTCTACGTGTGTGATTCCTAGCCTATCTCATCCCCAAGAAAACCGCCTCTGTGTGTCCTCGGATCGGAGTTCCTGAATTGGATAGGCGATGCCGTAGGGTAGTTATTAAACTCTTCGGAGCGACTGTTATCAATCCCAAGACGACGAAATATAGCATTCCTAGACTAATGTGCCCTATTGAAGCCCACTTGCTCGGAGGACCAGCGAGTGAGCGCATTGAGTTGGCCAAGATTTTGTTTCTTCTTCGCTCGTGTCATGTGCTTGTCGCTGTTGGCTCCCTCGTTGGGATGAATCTTTGGCTGCGTCCTTCAGAGAATGGTTGCGTGGCGGTTGTTTCCGAGTAGAACCCGACGCTGAGCGACGGATCCAGACTTTTGTAACCGGCTTGGTCTTACCGTCAGCTCCCGCTTAGAAAGTCGTTGGCGTGTACGTGCTCGTGTTTCTGCTTTATTCCATGCCCGATCAACCCCCAACACCCCCAACTATTACCGCGACCGCCATTGCGGCTGTACAGGAAGCGGAGGGGCGACTCCCAAGAGCTGTCGTTCAACATCCCCGTTTTCGAGCCCGTGCCGGCGCAGTACTGGGTGCGATGGTGCAGCGACCGCTGGGTGGGCTGCGACGACGTTCAGCCCGTGTCTTTCCAGCACCTGGTGTTACCGGAAAGGTGTGTTGTGTTCGCTGTTGTTTTTTGTCGCTCTTGCTTGTTGTTGGTGTCGTTGTCGTAGGTTGTTGGTGATGTTATTGGTAGTGGGTGGTGATGGCGGTGGTAGTGTTGCTGCTGTCGTGGTTGTCGATGTTGTTGTATTGGTTGCTGGTACTGTTGCTCTGGGTAAGGAAGGTGTCCTACTAGAGCGACTCTGAATCATGCCGTACTTGCACATCGGAAATCATGTACCAGCTCAAACCATACAGACCGCGTTTGTGTCGTTTTTGGCGCATGGTTTCACTGTCTTCCCTGTCAGCATGTTCGTCTCTCCGATTGTTTTGCCTCCCGCCACCGTTCCCCAACTCCTACAATATTGGTACAGATACACCGCGCACACACCACTGCTCGACTTGAGGCCACTACCCACGACGGCACTGCAGAACCCCAAGTTCGAGAGCCTTTACCGGTAAGGACGGCTACATACCTCTCTCGGTGCTTTCATATGGTCGTTTGCAGTACACGGGGATGAACTGTCCGTGTCCCCTACGTACGTGGAATTCCTCTACGTCCGTAGACTGTTGAGTGTTCTCGTCGCCCGCGCCAAACGGACAGGTGACGCTTTTCAGCGTTGACAAACCGCCGCTGTTCCACGGATGTGCCACAGCGGCCAATCAATCGGAAGCAGCGAACATGTGTCATTGCCCTGATATGGACTCAAAACCTTTTTTCGTGACACCGGTGCCTTGCTGTTGAACTCGACTCGGGTAACCACCGCAATGAGACGTGTCTCTGAATTTTCTCCCTTTTTTCCGTGGAATGCACACAGGTACTGTGACATAGTCACTCACTCTCGGCAGAACATCTGGAAACACTCGTGAGTAGGATTTCCTGGTAGATAACCCAAAACTGCAACATGCAGACGACTACAAACAACAACCATAATCGACGCTGCAATGTCTTGTCACTCCGCCCCCCCCCCCTGTGGCCCAAACGCAGGTACCAGCACTTCAATCCCATCCAGACGCAGCTCTTCCACGTGCTCTACCACAGCGACGAGAGCGTGCTGCTGGGCGCGCCCACGGGGTCGGGAAAGACCGCCGTCGCGGAGATCGCCATCATGCGGATGCTCAACCAGCATCCGGGGGCGAAGGTATGCGACTCCGTGCCACCCAGCTCTCTATTACGTAGAGGATGCGATACCATGCCGATTTTGTTCTAGTCGTTTGTGAAGTTTAGGAGCGCCGAATGGCGAGGTTGAAAATTTCGGCGGCAAAAGTGGACGCGGCGAGCGGGTAGGGACGAGTGAGGTCGAGGGGAAGCTGGTTGTATCTGTGGAGCCGTCGTGTCGTCGAGGATCAGACGTGATCACACGGGCAAGCTCAACCGGCACCCAGCGACCAAGCTTGGAGGGCAACCAGTGTTCAGCGTAGCAGCGGTAGGGGCGAGACAAATATGTCGGTGGTTTGGTAGCGTGGTGCGGTGTTGTCGAGTTCCGCTGGAGAATTCGAAGAGCCGGCATTTTTTTGGTGTCGTCTTGGGGTACTGCCGCAGCGTCGCCTCGCACGCTTGATACCTGTCTTCGGAGTGGTTGTCTTCGTCTTTCCTTTTCGAACCGTGACCGTCTTTGTGCCAGTCCTCTACTTCAGGTTGCCGTTGCCATTATTGTATGTTGTACTGCCCAGGTTGGGTTGTTTTTGTTTTGGCACTCCTGCTTGCGCCTGATGGTTTTTTCCCTTCATGATATCTGTCCGGGGAATCTGCAGGCGGTATATGTAGCCCCCCTGAAGGCCCTCGCTAGGGAGAGACTGAAGGACTGGAGGGAGAAGTTCGGCAAGAAGATGGACATGGGTGTTCTGGAGTTGACGGGCGATCACACGCCCGATGGGGATGCGCTCAGGTAATGGTTGGGTCGCGAAAGCAGAGTGGTTGTGGCTGTTGTTGTGTTTGTTGTTGGCGGCGATGGCGTTGTCGTTGTCGTTGTTGTTGTTGTTTTCGTCGTTCTTTTTGGCTTTGACGATGATGACGGCAGTATGCACACTTACCGACGTAGATGCTTTTGAAGATTCTCTACGTGCACTCGCTGGCATCGCACATACACGTTGTTGTTCTTGCTGTTGTTGTTGCGACGCCCGACTTTTCTTTGTGACATGTGCCGCGACAGGCGGGCGAGCATCATCGTCACCACCCCTGAGAAGTGGGACGGGGTCACGCGGGGCTGGAAGTCGAGGGACTACGTGAAGGACACCGGCTTGGTGGTGAGATCTTCGGAATTCCACCAGTGTGCATTTGCCCCCCCTCCTTTTTGCAGGTGTAGACTGATCGACAGTGGACGGCTTCGGTATGTTGAAGACGGACTGGATCGGTGTGAGGTTCAGGGCGCGTTGCTGTTGACAGTGTAGCTGGCTGCTCGGGCAACTGATCGCGTCAAGGATGCAGGCCCAGTGATGAGACGGTCGGACCGTAAGGCTTTGAATTGGTTATCATTTGAAGCGTTTTCGGCTGGTGTAGAAGGGTGCACTTGATCGGATACAAAAGTATTGGTAGTGGACACAGGTCCGAAAAGAAATGCAGGGATGAACAAGCTGCCTGGCGACGAGCGTAGAAGGAGACATGCCCAATGAAGCGGAGGGAAGTCGGAGAGTACTCAGGTTCAGGGTGGTGATGATATCATAGCACGCAGGGGTAGATACCACAGCAGGAAGACTAGGCAGTGGTCGTGTGCTTTCTCCTTTCTCACTTTCTCCTGTCTCGGAGACTGGTGCCTTTCGCCCAAGCTCTTTCGAGAGCCCCCCCGTCATGAGGTACCGCGGTCTAGAATGCGTACATTTTTTCTTGCGCCTTGGTCATTGGTCAGCCCGTAAGCGAGGCCGATGGTTACGAAATAACGCACACCATTTTTATTTTTTTTTGTCTGTGTTTCACCACTTGCCTTGCGCCAGATCATGGACGAGATCCACTTGCTGGGGGAGGACAGGGGCCCCGTGCTGGAGGTGATCGTCAGCCGGATGCGGTACATCGCGGCGTCCGCTGGGAAGAGGGATACGGGCACGGGCCACCGGCAGGTGCTCATGCGCTTGATCTTTCCAAGAGTTCATTCCTGGCTCTCTATGCTGTCTGGAATATTCTGATCTGCTGTACAGATGGCATAGAAACATGGCGTTATCCTGCTGTTGCTTGACGCATACTTCGTAGTTTTGATGTTTCGCGCTCTTTTCTGGGAACGGCTCTCGCTCTCTCCGCGGGTCACTTTGCGGGGGGGGGCACGCGGACAGTGAATGAGCCAGCACTAGCGAAAGGTTATGGGACACACACTGACGCAACTTGGTGTTCCAAACAAGTGAATTTTTCTTTGTCTGCATCCTCGTTACTGAGTTGAAAGGGGAGTGTCCCGCTATCCCTACCCAGGGCGAAGTCTTCCAAGACACCCCGCACGTTGCCTCGATCGCATGCGTGCAAGAATGGAAGAATGCCTTTCATACGTGTCCCGTGTGGTTTCCGCCCCACAGCCGGTAGCGTTACCCTTCCCCATTTTTGGTTGCTCTTTTGCTGCGAGCGCATTCGATCAAAGCGTATTCCTTGAATGAACCGCCACCGATACACTGTGGCAGGTGCGGTCGGCGGGTGTGAGCGCTGCACTCGCCAACTCTCGAGACCTCGCGGACTAGCTCTGTTCGCAATCCGCATTCGATCACACAGCATTGTCATGGGCGAAACCGTACTCGATGGTACAGTGTTCGGCGAAGGCTCGATCGATGATGCCGCGTTTTTTGAATCGGCGTTCGTACATTCCATGAAACCGCATCCATGAAATCGTATTCCATGCTATAATAGCTGCGTCCCACGAATCCGCGCTGCACGAGATTCCATCCCATGTAACCGCCACCGACGTCACCGTGCGAGGCAGGTGCGGTTCGTGGGTTTGAGCACGGCTCTCGCCAACCCTCGAGACCTCGCGGACTGGCTCGGTGTAAAGGACTCCGGGCTGTACAATTTCAGGCCGAGCGTACGCCCCATCCCCTGTGAAGTCCACATCCAGGTACCCCATAGCATTGATAGAAGATTCGAAGGTTTTCTGGAGTAAGTCGTAGGTAATCGTTTGTGTTGCTGGTGTTGGCAGTTGCTGTTCATGTGGGCGTTCTTGGTGATGTTGGTTAGGTTTTGCTGTGGTAGTAATGTCAATAGAGCATCCGGATAGAGTATTGCTGCGATGTACCCGCCAACCGCCTATGGCAAGTGTCTGCCTGCTGCACATTGCTCATCGCGGTTATTCTTGGCTTTGCATATTTTTCATCTGTCCCCGCACTAATCCCTGTTCTACCCCGCTCCCATTCCAAACCCACGCTGCTGCTGCTGCTGCTGCTGCTGCTGCTGCTGCTGCTTGCGGAAATCAAGGGATACCCGGGCAAGCATTACTGCCCACGCATGGCCAGCATGAACAAGCCCACCTACGCCGCGATCATGGAACACAGGTTGGTAGTTTTGTTGCTGCAGTTGTACCTTGTTTCTGGCTTTACCATAGTGAAACTCGTGGTTGTACTACGCACGATTGAACCCGAAGAGAATACGGGGTTCTAAATTTGGGTGTTGTCCTCACATTCAGCACTGCATTCAACCGATGCACGCCGTGTCAGCACTTCCAGAAACCGTCCTAGTCGTTGCTGATTGCACATTGCCTGTTTCCAACCCGACCCTATCTTGAGAACGCTCGAAGACCAGCACGACGCATGCGATTTGCATTGCATTCAGCCTCCGTGCCTCACGACTCGTGCGGGGCGGAAGGCGAGGTCTTGAGCCCGAAGCATTTTTCACGGCGGTGACAATTTCACTCGCAACATGTTTTGTCTAGCCCATCGGATCACTACTTTCGTGGTATCTTCAGTGCCCATTCAGGCCGGGATACCAAACTCTCACATTGGAGACTCGGAAGAAATAGTACACCCTAAAGAGGCAACAGCCACGTTGCAGGAAGACTCGTTAAGTGCCGCCGTCATTCCGGAATTTTTCGCCGGGTCTGCATTCACAATGCCGTCCAGTTCTTCATGCCCTGTCAGCGTTCCGAAACGTTTTGTCTTCTTGTTGCCCAGGAATCGCCGTCCATGCTGCCGAGGGACACCTGGGGCACGCACACGCGCTCCACGCAACACGCCAATCCGAGCAACGTTCCCTTGCTTCTCATACGTCGTCTCTCCCAGCCGACGGCCATCGAACGGGCTGTACACAATCCTGCGATCAGTAAAGTTTTTTTTTGTCGAAACCGACATTTTTTGTCTCTGTGTCCTCATGTCATTTTTTTTCTTTGTTTCATATATATGTGTTTGTTTTTTTTCCCCGACTGGTTTCTTTTTTTCTACAGTCCGGACAAGCCCGTGCTCGTGTTCGTGGCGTCGCGGAGGCAGACCCGCCTGACGGCGCTCGACCTCATCAGCCTGTGCGCCAGGGCCGACAACCCCCGGCGGTTCGTCAGGATGCCCGAGGAAGAGGCGTCCACCGCCTCCGAATCTGTGAGGTAAGGTGGTGTCCAAGGGCCTCTGCTCTGGAAAGACTGCGCCCCCCCCCTCCTAGATGAGACCACGATGTCGTTTCCCGCTGCAGAGCAAGGGGCGGGACTCGTGGCATGGTATTGCCGCCATAGGTTTAGGGTCAGGGATAGGGTTGGTAAGGGGCCCCTGCCACCCGTTTTATATTCCTGTCCTAGCTGTCACTAACGTGGACCCTAAGATGCTGTGAGCGGAGTGATTGGAGTTTGCGAGGACGGCGGCTCTTTGCTCTGGCTCTAGCCCAAAGAATACGAAAGGAAATTGTTTTCGGAAACAACACTGAACGGGTGAAAGTGGGCACACGTTGGTGAGCGGTTCCACAAGAAAATGCATTTGCCTGGAGGGAGCTTGAACGCTTTTGGGCACAGGGGATTGTTGTCCTTGCTCGGCGTCTGTCCGATTATTGTTGGACTTAAGTACTTCGTTCGGTGCTAAGCGGCGATCGTGGTTCATAGTTTCACGGATTCGTGGCTGTTGTTGCTGTCGTTGTTGCTGTTGTTGACTCTGCTGTTGTAATTGCTCCTGCTGCTGCTGCTGCCTCTGTCATCAACCCCCATCCTTTTTTTTGCTTCCGCACCCGCTGGCGATGCATTTGCAGGGATCAGGCCTTACAGCACACGCTGGCTTTCGGTATTGGCATCCACCACGCCGGCCTGGCCGAAGGAGATCGAAACATCGTGGAGGCGTTGTTTGAGCAGGGGAAGATTCAGGTACCCCCTTTTTTTCTTCGCACCCGCGTATCCCCCCCCCCGCCCAACCCTTTCCGTTCCCGGCCTTTTTTCTCTCAGTCTCCTTTCATTTTTTTTTGTCCACAAGCATTGCCACAGGTCACCGTGAGGTTGCAAAGAAATTGCTGCTTCGCTGATGCCATGCGTGTTGATCGATGTACCCCAGTTCATCCGTGTGCCGCGCGTGAGAGAATCCCATCCTCTTTCAGCCCCCTTGTCCTACTCGTCCACCATCTATGATAGTTTATCAATGACCTCTTGCCGGGCTCAAAATTTTTCAGGTGTCGTGTATCAAACACGTTTCGCCGAAGGTGTTCTTGTTGGGATCAATATTGTCGTGCCTCTACCGGTGGGCTGCTGTTTGCCGCGCAACTCGCGCGAGCACGGAAGAAAGACGGCGAAATAAGTTCCAAGAACCGCACCATTTACCATAGCCACAACCACCACCAAACAACAATAACAACTACATCTGCACGTACAGCAGCAGCAGCAGCAGCAGCAACTGCCAACAACAACAACTGCTGTAACAACACCAATGAGAGCCAAAACCACCAACAAGAACAACAACGAAAGTATCAACTGCTACTAATACATCAACAGGAGCACCATCACATCAAACCGACAGCAACTATAAATCCGATCACAACCACAACCACGACGCCGCCACAATGCACACCCCAGGTGCTGGTTTGCACGTCCACCCTCGCGTGGGGAGTGAACTTCCCGGCTCACCTGGTGGTGGTCAAGGGGACCGAGTTCTTCGACGGAAAGAGCCAGCGCTACGTCGACTTCCCCATCACCGACCTCCTCCAGGTCAGGGTACTGACGGCGGTAGCATCGCCTCCTCGTGCGTTCTTTTTTGGTCTACCGTACGCGGTGTGTGCGCTACGAACCATGTGATATGTGATGGAATTGTTTTCGGACTTCCGGGTTTCGTTGGTGGTGGTCGAACCGTAGGCTAGAGATCCAGGAGGCGGCGGGAGCAACTACAGACTACCGAGGAGCCTTCCCAACGGCTCCCCCAACCGCACTGTCAAAACCGCGTCGCACGGGTTTGGTTGGCGGTTTCAACTGTAGATGCGTTGTCTCTGATTGTAGCTTAGGCGCCAGCGAGTGTGCCTTGCCTCTCAACACGAAGGCTTGGTAAATCCTCGTCGTCCCGTTCAGGGCTTGGTAACTCCTCTCGCAGGTACACGCGAGCATTTCAAAGTTGCTTTGGACGACGTTTGCCTTGGTTAGCCTGGAGAATTGGCGGTATGTCCTTCTGGTTTAGCTTCTTCTGTGAAGTTTAACATCCTTGGCCCCGCGTCCTCCCCCGAGTTCATTCCTAGCGTACGTACCCGCTTTTTCTCTGCATTCGCGCATTGCTACCTTGCCGGTGTATGGTGATTGTGAAACCTATGGCATGTTCTGGGACAACCCTTGTACGCAATGTACATGTCTCATGTCCAACAACCAGCCGCCGAGGTTTTCGTCACGAAAAACACATGTAGCCACCAAAGCCGTGCTATCTTGCTCGTAGCCATGACAGCCATGGATGAACTCCAACACGCTCTCCGCTCTTGTGTGCGCGACGCGTCAGATGATAGGGCGAGCCGGGCGGCCCCAGTTCGACGACCACGCCGTGGCCTGCATCCTGGTTCACGAGCCCAAGAAGAACTTCTTCAAGAAGTTTCTGTACGAGCCGTTCCCCGTGGAGTCCAAGCTGCCCGCGTCGCTGCACAACCACCTCAGCGCCGAGTGCGCCGGGGGCGCGATCAGGTGCTTGCTTTCATTTTTGAGTTGATGTTGTTGCGCCGTTGCTTTGTCGTTTCGAAGCACCCTTTGGTAGTGGCTGTGAAGCTTCTATGAAGATCTTGCTTTGCTTGTTGTTTGCGGGAATTGTTTTCTATTGACAGCACAGGAGCCGTGTCCTTGTCGGAATCGGCTGGATAGAGATTCTATGAATTTTCACCCTTTTTTGTTTCCTCTCGAGGAAGGAGGGCATCCGGGGAAAGAGGTGCGTGTTTCGCGGAACGTGGTCGACAAAGGCGTGGTTTCGCGTTGGTCTCAAGTGGTCAACGTTTTTAAGGTGCCGATTTTCGGCAACGGGCACCGCAATGTTGGAGCCGCGAAGCGCGGGACGAGTTAATCCCCGTGCACGGTCGGGATGTGCAAATGGGTTATTTTTGTTGGGTGTAGCAGCTGAGAGTGAAATGAAATTGGAGGTGCACGTATCGGAGCAAGTACGCTGCAGGTGCTGCTACTTCTACACGTTCATGCTGCTGCTGCTGCTGCTGCTGCTGCTGCTGCTGCTGCTGCTGCTGCTGTTGCTGCTGCTGTCGTTTAGGTCGAGGAGAGACGCTGTTGACTACCTGACATGGACCTTCTACTTTGTGCGGCTGCTGGCGAATCCATCGTTCTACGGCCTCGAGGACACATCCACCGAAGGGGTGCAGGTTAGACCGCGTTTTTTTTTGCATTTGTACTCTGGCCAATCTTTCGATTATGTGCGTTTTAAGGTCTACCAGTAGTGGTTAGCATTGGCCGGTATTTCGGATCTTGTCCTGTTGTTGTTGGAGATGTCCCGCCATCCTCCTGAAAATCTGAAGACAGCAATGCTCACGGTACCTCGGAGGGTAATCACCAAGAGTGAACCTTTCACGCCGACGAACTTCACTTTTTTTTTGTTGGGGTTGTAGTGAAAAAAAATAAAAAATGGTTCTAATGTTCTTCCGCTCGCGTTTGGTTGCATTGTGTTTTGGTAAAGTATCAAAAACAGATTTACCACTGCAACACTAACATGTTGATGGTAAGCGAGAAGGACGAAGTGATTATTTCGTTACACCTTCTCGTCGCCGTTCTGTGTCAAACAGGAGCACTTGCTCGGTCTCGTGGAGAGCACCCTCGCGGACCTCGAGGACGCCGGCTGCATCGAGCTAGGAGGTGACGTCGGCGGGGGTGTGGGGGACGGGGGTGGCGGCGGGACAGCAGGAGACGAGGTAACTACAGCAGCAGACCCCTTTTGCATGTGTCCTGGGGAAAATCGGAGTTGTGTTCGCTGGTTTGGTTTCCCACGTTTCTCCCTTGGACCCTAGTTCGTTGCATTGTGGTGGAGCGGACGATGAACCATATACTTCATTCTCGGCACGGGGGGAGCAGGAAACAGCGGGGGCGCCGTGACTGCATCCAAGCAGGAGACCGGGTGCCTACAAAGGGCCGTTGTGGTTCTGCCCTCCTACATGCTCCTGCATCTATCACCTGCCGATGTCCCTGCTATTCGTTTTCGGTCAGCAGTACACCTTGTTATCCAAGTCCTTGCTCTTGCACCCCCGTTGGCAAGCGACACAGCAAAAGGTGATGAATACAGGTTTCGAGCTGAGGTTCAGCAAGATCCGACAACGAGCCCTTGGATCCCCACCTCTCGCCTTCCTCTTGCGTTACCCCCCGGTCGCAGGAGGTACGGGCTACCCCGCTGGCGATGGTGGCGAGCCGCTACTACCTCGACTACCGCACCATGAAGCTCTTCCAGTCCTGCTTCGGAGGGGACGGGGGCGAGTCGGCCACCTTGGAACACCTTTGCCGAATGTTGTCGGACGCCCAGGTGGGTTGGGTTGAACCCGTGGTCGCGGTTATCTCACTATCGCGACCGGTACACGCTTGCTGGTCGCGGTGAAGGGACCATGTACCGGTTCGGAAGACGATACCATGTCAGAAAGATTGGTGCAATCGATCTGCTGATATCGTGGTGAGTGCTAGGCAAAAATATCATGAGAAAGAACAACCAACAAGCATTACCATCGCCACGACCGCCCACGACACCAACAGAACGAAAGCGACAACACCAGAGCAGCAGCAGCAGCAGCAGCAGCAGCAGCAGTATCCCGAAATATACCGCCGTCGAGTGAAAGCCCTTGCACTGATTGTCTCAACGCCAACTTTCTGTAGAGCCACACCAGTCGAACCTCGGTTAAGTACACATCCTGATATTTTGCTACAACAAGTGTCCTTAACACGGGAAAGTGTCCTTTAGGTTGATGCCCGTCCTCATGTTGTACATTCTGCGAGCCACCATGCCTGTGAAAAAATCGTTTGTCCTTTTGTCCTTATCCGAGGGGAGTTTGGTTCATTTTGATGGCCTTCAGCGAGGCACGACTGTATTTTGTGACTCCAGAACCTCCGCCCCCCCCCTTGCAGGAGTTTGCGGAGCTTCCGGTGAGGCACAACGAAGATGTCCTGAACGGAGAACTCTCCAAGAAACTTCCTTGGGCCGTGGGCACCGAGGAGCTCGACAGCCCACACGTCAAGACTCACCTCCTGTTGCAGGTATACAGCGATATCGGGATTGAGATACAGTACCCGCGAGGCGCGGGCGGAGACACTCACGGCGTTTGATGTACAGCTGTACTCTTCCATCGAGAAAATGATAATGATTCATAATGAACTGGAGCGGAGAACGCAAGACGCGCAGCGGCAAAGGCTGTGGAGAACTGCCACGTACGCAATGGGATGCTTGCAAAGGGCATGAGGTGCATCAACCCGCGGACGATCAAAGCAAACAGGGTTATTCGCGGCACGGCACGGCCCCACATGCGTCTGGAACCGGCCCCGCAAATGGAAGCAAGTGCTGTGCACGCCGCAACCGACGAAGCACCGCCAAGAAAAGTGACACATTGTTTTCTGCCTTTATGGCGCCTTGAGAGGAAGAGGCTCGCTATGATGTATCTGATGTCGCTTTTTTCGCCCTCCAAGTGCATGCACGCGCGAGCAACTCTACTCCGGTAGTCTTTTCCCGCGCCCAGTGTGTCGGCCTTTGTTGCCAAAGTCCGGTGATGCGGCTGTCTTGTCGACATACCCTTCTCTTCCATCTACCACAAGCAACAAATTGATATGGAGTCGTGTGTGGAGTGTCAGGGCATCCACCACCACCAACAACAACAACAACCGCGTTGCAGGCACACTTCGACCGGTGCGCTCTGCCGATCTCGGACTACGTGACGGACACGAGGAGCGTGCTCGACCAGGCCGTCCGCGTCATCAACGCCATGCTCGACATCGCCGCCGGCTTCGGCCTCCTGGAGACCACGCTCGGGCTCCTCCGCCTGCACCAAATGGTGGTTCAGGTGCGCCAATTTTTTCCGGAATTGTTTGGAACAGACGGCGCGTAGTAGTCGTGGCCGTGCATTGGGTTTCACTCACGGAGGCGCCTCTGACTGGTGTTCAATCCGAGAAGGTGTTTGTCTAACAGGCAGAACCGTTCTGCCCCCCGATCCTCTATCCACCACCCCCAACCCCTCTTTCAAAGGCGGCATGGGAAGACGCGGACACCTTGCTCCAGGTCCCTGGGGTGGGCCCCACGCAGGCCGCGCGCCTCCGTTCCAAGCGCGTGTCCACGCTGCGCGAGCTCGCTCTTCGCGGAGAGGCTGCTGCTAAAAGCCTCCTGGAAAGTTCCGGCCTAGCGCCAGCGGACGGTAACGTTGGGAGGGGGCGCGGTGGGCGGGGCTCCGCGGGTGGTGGCGGGGGAGGGGGCGCCGCTGTGGCCGCGGCAATGCGTGCGCTGTCCGCCATCCCCGTGGTGAAGGATGTCACGTTCGGCGTTCGGGCTGCGGGCGGGGACGGGGTCGATGGGGTGAGAGGAGCTTTTTGTTTTTGCCGTGTTTGCGAAAAAGTTGTCGTTGTTGGATGCTGCTGTTAGTCGGTTGTCCATGTCGTTTTCGTTGTTCCCGAAACCGCGGCGTCGATGCTATGCGCCCGACCTACCGCACCATTCGTCGCGTGACAGGAACTGTTTATTGTCAGTGGAGTTAAGGAGCAACTGTTTGGCACGCACGCATTGTTACTCGATAATGCCAGAGGAGAAATGACCGATCGGGCCCACGCTCTAGAGACCTGCTGTCTTCAGCGCCCTCCGATAAAAAATGGATGCGCGTGTCTCTCGGAATCGGCATTATTGGTAGTAGACGCACGGATGGGTGGGGGAATGTCACTCTTTCGAATACCCAGACGATATTTGACGCTCACGTTCTCGTACTCAGGCACACACACACCCCTATCGGATGAGCCCGATGACATGAACGTGTCTTGGCGTTTTTTTTCCCGATAACAGACAGACTTATTTGCATTGGTCAGCCAGGTACCGCGGTCGATGCTAACAAAACACACACACACACTTGTCGGCAGAACCTTACCCTTTGATATTGTTCGTTTTTTTTTTGTCCCGCTACAAGACTAATATATTTGCATTGGTCGGCCAGTTATCGTGCTATTGATAACACACGCACGCACATACACGTGCCCCTCGATTAGAAAGTGTTCATGTGTTTCTTTCCGCTACAAGACTGACGTATTTTTTTTTGGTCAGCCGATTTGCGCGGACGATGCTAATTAAAACACGCACGCACACGCACGTGCAGGAGCTGTGGCAGGGAGGCGATTGCGAAGCGGACGTCCGAGTGTCCGTCGCGGTTACCGGGGGAAGGGGGCAGCACCAGGGAAGTAGGAGAGGAGGTGGAGGCGGGGGCGGCAGAGGGGGCGGCTCTCTCTGGTCCCCGCGTTTCCCGAGGGCGAAGGAGGTGGGGTGGTGGATCGTGCTGGGTACGGAGGATGGAGAACTTCTTGCGCTCAAGAGGGTGAGCGAAGTCTGGGGCAGACTATGTAGCAGATTTATGGTTGCATGTCTCGTGTGCGTGCTGGGAAGGGGGGCGGATGGTGTGTTTGGGTTTAGAGACACGTGGTGGATGAGGCTCCGTGAATTGCCATGGGTCGGGAGGATGAGCACCGGCAGGGCGGGAGGAGAACTGCTTATTTCGACTCAAGAGAGCAAAAACTTACCGGGTCGACTTGTTTGTTGGCGCCAGGGAATAGGGAAGAGCGAGGTTTAGGAAAGTTTTCATCACGAGGGTGTGCTAAATAGCAGGGTTCCGGCGGTGTGTCGGCAACGAATCTTGGCTGTTGTTGTTGTTAGCAACCAGGCTGATCGAGTTCTGCAGCAAGATTTACTTCCGAAACCCTCGATGGCATGCCTTGCCTCAGCGGCTGGCTTCATCCACGCAACATTCTGGCGATGGAATTGCCGCGTTATCATATGCACTATTATTGCGTCTTGATAGACCGTCATACACCTAGACCCCAGTGCTCTCATACCTGTCCACAGATTTGTTCTAGCAACGAACCAAATCTAAGAATAACAACATCACCACCAACACCCTCAGGTCTCGTACTGTCGTATGATTGATTTCAACAACGAAACAACACCGAGGCAATAACACCACCACCAACATCCACAGGTCGGTACGCTCGGACCCCGCGGGTACAGCACTACCCTGCGCTTTCCCAGCCCGGAGGACGCCACCGGCACAGTGCCGTTGGTGCTGCACGTCGTCGCCGACGGAGTGATGGGAATGGACCGGCAAGCACGAGCAACAGCTACCGTGTCTAGAGAAGAGTAGGATATAACAACGCCGCGAAGTAGAACGGGAGGCTGACGCCGTAGCTAGAGAAGAGTAGGGAGACAAGTTTGAGTAGGCCACGATAGCGCAGGGTGGATAGAAGGAAAGGCAGGGATAGAAGGAAAGCCAGGGCAAAGTGATGCGGAGGAGGTCGAGGAGCGGTTTCGTGTGTCGATCGAACGTTTCTAGCGAAGTCCTCGTCTAGGAATGTCGATGACTAGCTCTAAAGCGCTAGGGGTAAAAGAAGGCCCCAAGGACTCGCTAACGCGGCGTTCACCGTGCCCATTTCAGGGCCTGAATTCTGGCCTTGAAGTGTGCTCTTGATGCGAACAAGGTTGGCGAGAAGAACGTCGAACGGTGCGCTTTGCTTGGAACTCATCGGGCGATGGTTCGATCCGCTTTGAAGGAATGGATTCCAATGACGTTACCCACCAGTCGTCCCCGTGGAAGGTGATCTCGCGTGACTCAGATTGAATTCTCTCATGTTCTCTTATGCGTGCCGCGTGCCCGGTGCAGGGCAGAAGGCCGGCCAAATATCTTGACAGTGTGCCGCCCCATTCTTCATATCTGCAGAACAACAAAAGGCTCAAAGCGTCTGGCTATCTACTCCTAATTGCGCTTTATTCCTTTAGTCTACGTGCCTCACTCTAAAGCGTCTTTGTTGTTAGTTTTCCCGCGATGCAAGTAACGTTATTTCGTCATCTTTCTTGCGGCGGAATCTAACACGAAAATAATCTTCGTTCATCTATCGTTTAATCTGCCCAAAACGCATTTTTAATGGAAACTACTGCACACGGGCCGCGACAAATATTTCGCTTTATTCTCCGACTCGTATTCGCCTTGATGCCCCCCATACCCGAAACCGGGCTCTGCATCGGGTGTTCGAACCCTAATTTGCTCGGTGGCACACTTTGCACCAGTCTCACAAGCACGATCCGCCGCGGCTGCAATCACATCCATCGGGCGCAATACCCGGTTGTGAGTGCTTGGTTGGCGACGGGCACGGCCCACGACCCACTCACGCACCCGCTAAGGCCAAAGGCAATGAGAATTTCTTCCGTCACACGTCAACCGCCGCTGCTGCACGTAAACGGACAGGCCAAAATGTCGTGAGGGACAACATCGCTTCCAAGGTTTAGCAACTTTTAGGCTCCCCAATGTGTATCTGACATCGCTCAATGTGTCGCAACGAGAAAAGTTGGCTCTGTTACTTTATTCTTCGCTATATGTCACCTCTTCGCCATGCGACCCTCTCTTGTACACGGCCTACTCGGGTCGTAAAATATACAAGTATGGGTCGAAAAAACGTAACGTAGATCTACGAAGCAAGCGTCTCGCTCGCCGAATGGCGTTAGAATCCCCGCCCCTCCCTCGCCGGCAAGCCCTGTTGAGCCAACTCTACCGAAATATCAGCGCCTGATTCCACGCGAACAACCAAACACAACCCGGCCAGCACGTCCGTCAGAGCATCCAGCCCGGTCAAGATTGAGCCCTCACGAGCTACAACACCCAAGACCGGGAACAGAAAGGTGGGAGAATAGCGCCGCGTGCCTGCTCTAGTGCCGGCTGGCACACTGCGGCACTACTGCGCCCCCCCCCCCCCCACTGACATCGAATCGAGCAGCCCCGTTTGCGGTGTAATAGACTGGCCCATCAACGAAGCACTGTTTTTTACACAGTATCTTGCCGGAGCCAGAGGGCGAGCCCACCACCGGCCCCGCGAGCGATAACGTAACGGTCCGAGATGTCCATGAAGGTGAAACCCGGCGGTACCTTGCTCTCCCCCTGGTTGTACGGGAAATTCAGCCCGAGGACCCCGACCTGACAAAAAATCACAAAACACATTACCAAGGTTGGCGGCGGGGTGAAAGGTAGGCGATAACTTCGACGGAAAGGAGAGGGAGGAAACTGCGTCCGTTGTGGCGTGGTGTGGCGATTGGTCGGCGAACCCTACCTCCACCCGCAACTTGACCACTTCGTGGGACACTTTCGAGGCTGCGTCGAGGGAAATGCCCGCCGCCTACGGAAACAGCAGTGAGCATGAGTACATCATGCCTGTACAGCGGCGAGCCACGTGTACACCTTCCTGTTGTGAAAACATGTAGTGCGAAAAACGATCGCAACACGCTTTCCCCCACGGTATCAAGAAACATGGTGCGTCCTTTCCAACAGAATGAGATGCACTATACGTACGAAGTACAAATTTCCACAGTACCGGCTTTCGAGCAAACCTACCACGAACCCGCCCACCTCGTGCACACCTTCCTCGTGTGAAAACATGTAATGGGAAAACGATCGCAACGCGCTTTCCCCCACGGTATCAAGAAACATGGTACGTCCTTCCCAACAGTATCAGACACAACATACCAAGTGTAAATTTCCACAGGACCGTCTTTCGAGAAACCCTAACCTATCACCAACCCGCCCACCTCATTGAAGGTGAACTCGAGGCGAGCCTTCTCCTCGGCCCAGGTGAAAGTGCCGGAGAACTTGAGAACCGGGAAGGAGCCGAGGTAGACGCCGTTTGTGATCGTGTAGTCCGGGTTGAAGACCTGATCCAACGTCCGAACACAGGAATGTGCCGAGACGAAGCAGGTCAACCACGAAGATTTCATCGGCACGGTCGGCAACACTCGCGCTCTTGATAACAGTGAGACAATAGAGACAGATCTCCGTAGAAACTAACCGACATCCCGCCGCCAGTCGAAGTTTAGGGCGATGGATTGTCGAACGAAACCGCATTATCTACGTACAAGGTAGCACCTTTTCGACGGCCTTTTCTCAAGGACGGCAGATAGCGCTGCACCTAACACCGGGAGCACTACCAATTTTCTCAACTCACTGTAAGCGGGTTCACGCCTGACAAGTAAACGCCCAAAAGCCTAGGAGACCCCTGCGATGACGTCAGTACTCAACGACAACATTTGCCAGACACACATGCCTGGGTCGACAGGTCCGGCGGTGGAAAAGTAGAGAGTGCCGTGAAGGCTGAGGACTGATGGTCCCATTCCTGGGCAAAGCCCTCGACTATGACGTCGACGTCATCAACACCCGCCACGACGTCAAACAAGCTAACGAGAGAGTGAAATAACACAAAGTTGGAAGCATCGCGGGCGCCCAAAGCGACACCAGTTTCGGCGGCCGCCGCTGGAACTGCTGTTGGAGATGACGTCTTGGCGAGGCCGTAAAGTGAAAGCAGTGCTCGCAGATGCGGCGTAATTCGGCACACTGCTCTTCACCCGTTTGTCGATACAGCAGTAGGATTTCGGGTCACTCGGTTCTGGGTGGAATATAACAGCAGCAGTGGGTTCGTCCTCCTCGTCAGCAATACCAGCAGCACCAGCACCACCAGTGGGATCGTGGTCCTCGCCATCCACGTCCTTGTCAGGAACCCCTTTCCAGGGCCGTCCACCCTTCACGGTTACCCATCACGGCCCACGGAGCATGTTTTCGTGGGCCTTGCGGGGCCGTACACGTCGTCCACGGGTGACACCAGGCTAGTTGCCTCCTCCAGATCATGGACGACCACAGCACGACCACAGCAGCAACTTCGGTCGGGCCGTGTTCTTACGGGACAACACCGGCACTACCGTGGCTCGTGCGCTACGGATGTGGCACGGTTGAAATAAAGTCGCTCTTGGCTACGCACCGCGGGTTGGGGCATGTTTTCAACGATGACAGGACCGGGTGGACCAGCGAGGACTTCCGCGCCATGTTCAAGTTGGTGAGCATCCCACGTAAGCCCTTGTTGGGCCCACTCGGTCCCGTCATCGTTGAAATCATGCCCCAAACCACCGTGCGTAGCGGAGAGCGGCTTGATTGAAGCGTGGCACCTCAGGAACGCGCGGACCACCGTAGGGTCGCTCTCGTCCCGTCGGTATTCGTGGAGGTTTTCCTTGGTGTTTGGGAGGACATGTGGAGAGAAAACTTCATCTACTGCTGTAACCACACTTTCTAACTATAATGGTAGCAGGGTTTAACATTGTTTCGATGACCTTGAGGGTTCAGGGCTTCCGAAGTTCATTTGGAATTGGTCGATACGATAAAATTGGGGTTTTGTTTGAGGAATTTATTCGGATTGATTGCCACGTCTGCGTATGGCACGTAAATTTGTGTTGAGTATTGTCCGGGAGTAACTCCGATGTTTTTTCTGGCTTGGGAAAATATAGGGAGAAGATGGGGTCGCAGTCGTGAAAGACATGTTCTCTATATTTCTCAAGGGGGTTTTCTGTTTGTTGGTGGATATTAGAGAGAATCCATGCTGACGCGATGAGAATCGGATATCAGAAGATTCAGAGATCGTGTAGGAAAACGTTTTCTTGGGAGATCAACAGAGTTCGTTGAAAGATGTCTTATTGGGAGATTTGGTTAGATTGGTATTGTTTGTTTGGCATTGTGATTGAGTATATTGCCGTTTTACTTGGTGATAAGTTATCGAGTACCTAACAGGGGGGCTGTTTGGGGTGTCCCTCGACATCGATGCTGATCTGCAGGGATCATGGGGGTTACGTGGATGCGTGTGCGTGGTAAGGAAATTGAGCGGCGGGATCCCCGACAGCGCTCCTCGCTCTCTCTCTCTCTCTCTCTCTCTCTCTCTCTCTCTCTCTCTCTCTCTCTCTCTCTCTCTCTCTCTCTCTCTCTCTCTCTCTCTCTTTCTCTCTCTCTCTCTCTCTCTCTACTCTGCCAAGTACTTATCAAGGCCCTGTCGTCAACCGTTTCTCCCTTCGCTTCTGACAACAAGCTGTCCGCCTCCCAAGCACGCGGGCATGGACGATCCACTGGATAGAGGAGCGAAGTAGCACAACTTCAACGTTGCAAAACTTTCGTCGGAACCGCAGCCGCACAGCTTAAAAATTGCCTAGACAGGACGAAAAAAAACTTCCCCGCCCCCCAAACACTTTACCGCACTGCACTCTGTTCCTCCCTCACCGAGTTCAACACTGAATGCTTACATGTTCGCATGCAGTTCGCTGAGACAAATGCGAGACTTTGGGAGAGAAGAGATCCATGTATAGCGAAAAGTAGCATTCCATTCTTGGCATCAACACACTGCTGCCGCTGCATTGACCACTTTAAAGACCCCTTGCGGAGGGAAAAGACCGGCCAGGACTCCGAAAACATAAACTGCCATCCGAAACAAAAATTGCCAAAAAACTGTGGTATTATCTCGAACTGGTACATTAGCCTTTTTATGATTGTACGAATACTTTCTCTAGAACAAGGTACCTGGACTGCCTTGATCGGAACGTACGAAATCTTTCCGCCGAGTTTTTTCTGCGTCTTCACGTCCCCGGTGGTGAAGATGAGGCGCCAGTTCCCGTTGTCCGTGAGCAGGTCGAACTTGGGCTGCGAGCTGTCCCTTCCCTCGAGCGGCTTCTTGCTCCCCCCCGACTTTTCGATAAGCCTGTCCCGGAATGCATGATATTCTTTGTCGCAGGTGTTTTTTTCGCAAAACAAAAAACGAAGCATAACCGACAACAAACTACGGCGGAGCAGTGCCTGATAATCCCGTCCGCAAGATAAAAAAAGCGAAGACTTGTTGTTGGTCAGTGTTCGAAGGTCTTCTATTTCGGATGGGGGGGCTATGTACTCTTGACTACGTCTAGTATTGGATAGCCGCTTCATGAAGAAGTTGTTTCGCCTGGTCAATTTGTTTCAAAGTAAAAACAAACACGCATTTATTGACGCATTTTGATCCGTCACGTGTATGTTGACGCATTTTTATACGTCTCGGAGGAGAAACGTTTCAGGGCAATCGCATGTAGACTTCGGCCGTGATTCTTCTGCCCCCACCGCACCGTGACCCGGTTCTTCCTTGCCCCCCCCTTGATCAAGTATATGGCTGGGTCTGGGTACCCTAGCCAACAAGTCTCTTACTGCGAAAATAGCGCATCATAGTGGGAAAAGACTTCGTATCCCAACCTCTCACATATCAAGGGCAGCAGTAGAACGATAACAAACGCCAGTATCCGAGATTTCGGCTCCCTTACCATTTCAAAATAAGCCGATTAAATGGGCACGACACCTCGGGATCCCCCCCCCTGCGCTCTCGACCGTGACCTGGGCGCTTGGTGCGTGGAGATCTATGGTTCGAACACGTAACGGTCATGCATGACAATGCCCACACCCCTCTCCCAGGTAATAAACGATCTCAGGCTTCTCTATGGAAACCAAGCGGCAGCCCCCTTAAACCAGCCGGGAATACAACTGCGATACACGCGCTCACCGGATGGCCTCGATGACGGTGTCCGGATCGACGTCTCTCGTCTCTGCCGCTCGAACGATCGCCGTCTGCGCGTCTTCGATCGTCTCGAGCGCCGCCGCAGCCGGTGCGTCCTGCATGCGCGGCCGCAGGCCACCGCTGCTGCGGTCCCTCCCCGCTCTTGCCGCCGGCAACCGCGGCCTAACAGGAGGTGAACGCAAGAGGTGGTTGCGCTGTGATGCTACCGCCGCTGATGTGTGTGAGCCAGAGTGCCAGGCCTAGAGCTCGCCTTTTCAAAACGTTTTTCATGTACCACGACAATTTACGGTGTGTTAACGTGGAAGCCTCACGCAACTAAATGTTATTCCGTGAGGTTTTCTGGGACCGGCGCAGGCAACGGAGGGAAAACCCTGGGAGGTGAGTACGTTGAGGCTCGACTCCGTTATGTTTGGGTGAGTGGGTGAGCGAAGCAGCCATTACAGCTACAATTCAGCAGCAGTGAGGCTATTGGTTGCTGTTAGGGGTCAGCACATGCCCCTGAGTCTCGTCTTGTGTGGGTAGTCAATCTGAGATGCAACGTGTACACTCCTACAAAAAGAAACGCATCAAAAACCGTAGTTGATTGTTTGCGTTCGATCTTACGTCGCAACTTGTGGATCATGTGCAAATCGTGTTGTGCCTTCGCGCAGTAGAGAACAGGGAAGGCAGCAAAACTCCGGTCGACCTTAGGCCCGATAAAATTCGCTTCGCCGTGGTTCGCGCGACCTTGAAACAGGAGTTCGTTCTGTGCCCCGTTTGCCATACAAGTATATACCCCAAACATGTCGAATTCCCCGCAACCTTCATGACCAACCCTTCACACTTGTGGCAAAGACCTGTGTTGCAAAAGCTCGTTGACCCGGAGAGCAACAATACCTACAATTGTGGCAATTTGGAACATGGTGGGGCTTTGGTTGTTGCCAAATTCGACAAAGCCAGATAAGTGCTATCTCTATCCCCAATTCCCGCTGGGCATGCCTCTTCCAGACAACATTGCAAGACTGCAGAGTACTGATGGTAAATACAGTGCAGGCTGGTCGTGCGCAGCAACACTGGGTGCGGAATGTTGAAGGGGACCCATGTTGTTCAAAAAATCCAAGACTCGGTCTGCCGAGTTGTAAACTGGACGTGTAAATTGGACGTGAGGATCATATCACCTGGTGATGCGCACTCTGGCCTGCTGACGACCGCCACACTTATCATCTACTGCGGTGCACACCCATATTAGGACGGTCGCACAGCTTGCATGCATAGAAGGCTCACCTGCTCTCGAACGCGGCGGAATGGCTCCGCCTGGACACGTCGGCAGAGATCATCAGACGGGCGCGTGCCTGGGACGGCGGCGGGGTGACGAACGCTTCGGAGTACGACGCCATCAGCAGTAGCAGCCCTACTAGGGGCGCTATCGTTCCGTGGGCACAGTAGGAGCGCATGGTTCGTCTGCTGCTTGAGGATGTTCTGCACTGCTGCGTAGAGCATCCTCGGCAGCTCAGCCGGCAGGTTATCATGAAACCAGGGGAGACGCAAGATGAGCCGCAGAAATATTGGGTACGGTGGTTGAGAATGGGCGAATGCCGCTGAAAAAAAACGAAGCCCCCTAAGCCGCACGAATGGTTATGATCATGCCCTATGACATTTATGACATTGTGAGGCATCTCAGACTGTCGGTGACCGGCCAATCAGCAGAGCTGAACGCGTTGCCGAACACACAGTACAACAGAGCACCTATTTCGGCCAATTCCTTCTCATCTTCCTTGGGAAAAGCACTCCATGTACATAGAACAACGTTCACGAACATCCGCTGTACGCTCCCCCCACGCCGTGAACCTCAAAGTCCCAAAGCGCTCCACAACATATAGGGGAGGAGCTCGGGCATTCGGTGCCCAACTGCTGCCAGATGCCAATTGTCTCCGTCTTTGTGTTCTTCTCGGGTTCGTGATTATTAACTACAGAAGTGATATTTTTCCGTTTATTATTTTGTGCCAGTCTGAGACGGTAGACAGAAGAGGCCGACGTCCCAAGGGTGTCGCCATCCGGTGACGTGCCCAGAGAGGCTAATCGCTCTTCTTGGCTGCGCGGATGCCTTTCGGCTGGTCGGATTCCAACCGGTTAGGAGATTTTTTCAGAAATGGCGCTCGAAGCCACGATTGATAACTATTCAAGGAACCTCTCGGATTGCAAGGCGCAATGTCGTGAGTACTCAAGAGGGAAAATAAAGACTCAAACCATTCTCGACATGAAAATCGAAGGCAGCAAGCAAGTACCGCAGCTGGAGAACTAGAATACCTCGGTGTGTGACCCCGGCTGATAAGTCAAACAGTTACATCTGCATACCTACCTAAAGGTATACATGTAGACCTGCGCCCATATCTAAGTCTCTACAACATTATCCTGGAATGAATGCAATCGGGTACGAAACACGCCCACCATTACACCGTACCTCCTTATACTTGGGGATAGGGCTGGGACGCCGCCAACTGAACTCACCTCCTGTAGGCGCGCTCTTACTCGTCGTTCGGCAAACGCTACAAACCATCATCGACAGGGACGTATGCCTTCGCATATCGCTCAACAACCTTCCGGAGCTTGTTATTATCCCCCGACCCTCTTTTTCTGAACCTTTTTGCACGATCCGCATTTTGCATGTTTCCCCTCACCTAGTGTGAACGGACTTTCTCAAACGAAGCTATCCCTTTTTACATCCAACCCAAAGCACTTTGTTTCCCATCACAAGACCATTCGGTATTGTCATGATTCGTAAGTATCCCAATTATACAGCTTCGTACCGAGCGTGGTTCTAAATGCTGTTCCCACAGACATGATGACTCTCCAGCAACTGCAAGCCTTCACGAGCACAATCGTGCGAGCCCTCCATGAGGAGCAAGCAGTACGTCTCCTACGCAACGACGATGTTTGCCGTGCCCCGCCCGAGCGAAGCACTTTAAGTGCCGAACGCCAGAACCAAAACCCTTTTTGTGAAGAACGTCTGCGGATGGATCACACACAAACGCTTTCCCGACAACCCCCTACCACCCCTCTCGACAGGAAAGGACTTCACCCGTTACCAACCACTACTACTGCAGGCTTCAGACCTATTAGGTGGCGATACTCAGCACGTACCTGTGTGGATAAACACAAACCCACCATCGGCGGGACGCACACCATTAGGTAGGCGACAGCGCGACGTGGGACAACGGAACCAATGCCGGAAATAATAACCCACGAGTTGTCTTCCCTCCTACTGCAACCACACCCCCGACTACATGGGACATCCCAGCTGCTGCAGGGCCAGACCCAGCTGGGTCACGTAGCTCGCGGCCGACATCCTCCTGGTTGAGGGTGCGGGCGCCGCAACCACCACCGCTGCTTCTTTGGGCGAGGCCGTCGTTGCTTCTGTCCTCGGGGAGGAAGATTTTCCCTTTCGTCGTCTTGGCTTCTTGCTGCTACTGCCTCTTCTCCTCCTTCGGCTACTCCTACCGCTGCTGCTCCTGCTGCTGCTGCTGCTGCTTGTGCTCGTGGTTCTCGTGCTGGAAGAAGAGGTCGACTCGGTCGAGACGTATGGGGTCTTGGGATCGCCCCCGCCGGGGGGGGCTATCACCCCCCAATCCCAATCCAGAGAAGCCCTCAAGGGGTCGTCCGGAAAATCACTCAACGACATCTCCTTCGGAGAACTCCCCAGCCCCTGGTCCCGACCGCAGGAATCTCCCATGGACGGACTGCCCGGCGAAACAGAGGCGTGCATCGCATTATCCCCCAACCCCCGATTCCAACGCGGGGTAGCGATCACAGTTGCGGGGAAAATCTGGGGGAGTGCCATCCCCAAGGCTCATCGCCGCGTTCGGAGAGTTCCCCACGGCGGTCTCCGGAGAGCAGTTCCCCACGATCGCGTTCTCCGGAGATTTCCCCGCGATCGCGTTCTCCGGAGAACTCCTCCCCACGACGGCGTTCTCCGAAGAACTCTCCACGACGTCGATCTCCGTAGATCTCCCCGAAGCATTCCCCGGAGAACTCCCCACGGCACTCATCTCCTTCAGCGCTCCCGCGACCCGCAAAAAATCGCCCATCATGGCCGGCTCACAAGCGTGGGCTTCTCGTCGCCCCGACGGTGCTAGGGCTCTCAACACCGCCGCTGCGTGGAGGCAGTCGGTGCCCTCTCCGAAGGAATCGTCGAACGCGAAGAGGGAGTCCGCAGTGATTGCGCCCCCTCCCCCGGACATGGCCTGCGGCCAGGCGGGTGGCGGGGAGGGGGGGGGGGGGGGGGGGGGGGGGGG